CTAGTTAAAGAATACCAATTGGTGGGTGCCCAATGTCAATTAATAAGCTAACATCTCCCCATTTCTATGTAGTGACTTGTAATGCCAGCAACTCCTCTGGTCATGAGCTTGAACAGTTAGCAGTCTCATCCTTCCTTCCCCAGTGGGTGCCAGTCATAATCTTTAGAAAAGGCCAGTCAACTACACATGAGAAGGACTGAGCATCTAGAAGTTGTGTTAGGACAGAAGCCCAATTCAAAATGGCTTAAGCAAAACAGGAATGAGAAAAGTCTAGGAGTATCTGAATTCAGGATCCAGGGCTCAGATGGTGTCATCTCTATCTCTCATTCTCCCCGCTTGTCATTCCTTTTCTTGGTTCCTCTTTGCTTTGTGTTGGCTTTAGTCTTAGGTTCTGGGTAGTAGCCTCTGGCTGCTATAGGCTTAGTTCATTCTTGCTGCTAGCTAGCTCATTGGGAAGAGAGCTTCTCTTTCCCTTGGGCTCCAAATAAAGATCCCAGAATTGGGTATCACTGGATAGATTTGGATCATGTATCTATTCTTGAGCCAATCACTGTGGCTGAAGGTTTAGAATATACCAATTGTCCATGCTCATGTTAGACTGATGTGGCAGCCATCTTCCAAGATGGCCCCCAATGATCTCACCTTCTGATATTCATGCCCTTGTATAGTCCCTCCCACACTGAACCAAGGCTGGCTTGCTTTTTTTTTCTTTTTTTTTTTGAGACAGGATCTTGCTCTGTTTCCCAGGCTAGAGTGCAGTGGTGTCATCACAGCTCACTGCAGCCTCAAACTCGTGGGCTCAAGCAATCCACCCACCTTAGCCTCCTGAGTATCTGGGACTACAGGCACACTCCACCACACTTGGCTGATTTTTCTATTTTTCTGTAGAGACAGGGTCTCCCTATATTGCCCAGGCTATTCTCAAACTCCTGGACTCAAGTGATCCTCCTGTCTCAGCCTCTCAAAATGCTGGGATTACAGGTGTGAGCTACCACACCTGGCCTAGTTTTCTCTTCTTATTATTTGTTTCATAATATGTATGACTCATCCCGGCCTATGTAACCAACAGAAATATGGCTGAAGTGATGGTGTGTGATTTCCAAGGCTGGGTGGTAAAGGCATTGCTGCTTCTGCTTTGATCTCTTAGATTGTTCTCTTTGAGGGAAGCCAGGGGCCATGTTGTGAGGACATTCAAGCAGCCCTGTAGAGAGGAACTGAAGCCTCTTGCCAACACCCAGTACTAACTTGCCAGCCCTGTGAGTGAGCGATTCACATTGGAAGTGAATCCTTCAGCTCTAAGCAAGCCTTCAGATGACTGCAGTCCCAGTTGACATCTGATTGCATCTTCCTGAATTCCCCTGAGCCAGAACCACACAGCCAAGCCACTTTGGAATTCCTAACCCACACACACCATGTGAGATAATAAGTTATTATTGCTGTTTTAAAGCCACCGCATTTGGGGATGATTTCTTGTACAGTACTAGATGACATACAGTTTTGAACCCCTAAACCCTGGGTAAGGATTCAACACCACTTGGTGCAGACTGAAGCAGGAGGGAAAAATTAAGTTGCTGTTGGTGGGAAATAAACACAGGATGGGCCAAAGAACAGCTAACCTCAACAACGGGTGCTCTGCAAACACATGCTTGCTAGAGGATGGCAGTGCACAGGAAGGCCACGCTGATTCCTCTGAGGTGACTCAGAGTGTCTGGGCCAGGCAAGACTCAGGTCCAGATATTCCTACGTCTCTTTCCTAGCTCCAGCTATTGACAGATTTCTCCCTTGTCATCCCTAGACTTGGTTAGTTATAAGCACCATGGGGACTCCCCTCCTTTGCCATCCTAAATATTTGCTCTTAAAGTAAATTAGTTATTTTGCTTTTAATCTAGAAGATAATACAGGCCAAGAAATCCGTCTGTATTTGCATGTTTGCAAATGACTTATGCATGGTTTGAGGCTTCTCCTGTTAAACTGAATTTTTAATTTAATTTCAGTTGGACACGTGTTAGCAAGGCACGAATGTGTCCTTTGGAAGCTCACATTTCTCATTATGCTCTTCAGGCAAAGGAGAAAGATGAAAGAAGTGTAAGGGTTAACACTCCAACTAATAAAGAGCCTTCCTATCTTCCTTCCTCCCTCCCTCCTTACTTCTTTACTAAAACTTCTTGAGCACCTACTATGTGCTTGCTATTGTCTATATTATCTCATCTAAGTCTTCTAATGATGATGAGGTTATATTAATAACCCCTTTTAACAGATGAGGAAACTGAGATATGTTTGGAGAAGTTAGGTATTTTATTATATGTTTTTCTCTTTTTACAGTCATGTTATCTAGCTCCAAAACCTCAGTGACATGAATATCTTTGTACCCACAGGGAAAGATGGAACCAACACATACATTGTTCCAGAAGTCCTATTTTAAGTTTTTCTTGTACCAAAGGCTGCTACATGTTATTCCTTCCAGCCAATCGCCAAGATACAGATTGCATTTTCCATATGCCCAATCTGTGTGATGACAGAGAAAACACACACACACACACACACACACACACACACACACACATGCACGCACAAAGTTTCTGGCACTTTTTTCTGTCCCTTCCTTCCATGTCAGTAAAAGTTTGTCTAAAAAATGACAGCGACAAAGGGAAACAACCACTGATCTGACAGAGCTTGTGGCACTTGAGACTCTCCAAACTTGCATGATGGAGCTTGGGAAGGCTCTTGGTAGGGAGATTATGAGGACAGGCTCTGGACCCAGACAGGGCTGGGTTCAAATCCCCATTCTACCCATTTGTCAGCTCTGTGACTCTGGTCTAGTCTCTAAACCTCTCTATAAAATGAGATAATAATAGTGTCTATCTCTTACAATTCTTTTAAAGAGTTAAGGAGATAATATATGTAAACTGCTTGTCCCAATGCCTAGGGTGAAGTAAAGGTGTGACAAATGTGGTCATTACTGTCACAATTGCCTTTACCTCTGTGTACCTCCACTTTCTCTGCTGCAGACCTGGGGTTGATATGTGTCTTTTAAATATCTATGGCAGGCAGACTCTGAGATGGCCCCAACTGATCCCCACTTTTTGGTATTCATGTCCTTGTATAATCCCCTGTGAGCAGGACCTGTGACTTGTTTCTAACCAATAGAAAATGGCAAAGGTGATGTCACTTTCATGATTTATATTACATAAGATTGCAATTTCTGGCCAGATGCAGTGGGTCATCAAAGCCTGTAATCCCAGTGCTCTGGGAGGCTGAAGCAGGAGGATCTCTTGAGTGCAGGAGTTCAAGACCAGCCTGGGCAACATAGTAAGACGCCCCCCCCCTGTGAAAAATTAAATGTAAAAAAAATTACCTGGGCATGGTGGCACATGCCTGTAGTCCTACCTACTCAGGAGGCTGAGGTGGGAGGATTGCCTGAGCCCAGGAGTTTGCGGATACGGTGAGCTATGATTTCACCACTGCACTTTAGCTTGGGCGACAGAGCAAGACCCCATCTCTAAAAAAATTTTTTTTAAAGATTGTGACTTCTGTCTTGCTAGCAGACTCTTCTTATTGCCTTCTCAGCTTGCATACTTTGATGAAGCAGGCTGCCGCACTGACGAAGTCCACGTGACAAGGAACCGGGGCAGCTCTGACCAAAATCCAGCTAAGAACCGAGGCCCTCAGTGCAACAACTTTCAAGGACGTGAATTTGGCCAACAGCCATGTGAACTCAGAAGCAGATCCTTTTTGAGTTGAGCCTTCAGATGAGACTCCAGCCCTAGCTGATACCTTGATTGCAGCCTCATGGGAGACTCTGCTGCAGAGGAGCCAGTTAAGCTATGCCCAGATTCCTGACCCACAGAAAATGTGAGATAAAACATGTGTAGTGTTATAAGCAGCAAAATCAGTGATAATTTGTTACACAGCAATACGTAACTAATATAGTACCCAATCCCTCTAGTCCCATTTTTGGTTTAGAACCCATCTCCCCTATTTCCTTAGCATCCTGCATTTATCACATTGCCTCATAGTTCTTGGTTTTCTTGCATCCCCACCTTGTAAGCTCCTTAAGCACAGGCACCAGACCAAGTAGTTCTTGTAGCTCCAGTGCAGATAGTTGGCACTAAGAGGGTGCTGGGTAATATTTCACAATCCCCAGGGGTGGGTTGTGTGCTACATTAGGGGCTTCTGTAACATCCTAATAATGATGGTGGTTGTTTTTGAACCCTTACTGTGTGCAAAATACTGATATGAAGCCAGACATTTGTATTCTTAACTATTAAAAGCTTTCTGTGATGATTCTATCCACAGCCAGGTTTGGGAATCACTTACCCTATACCACCTGAAACATTCTGTGGAAAAATCGCATCCTGCTCTTAAGATAGTTATACTCGGCCTTCCTGATTAAAAAAAAAAAAAAAAAAAAAAATTGTACTGCATACATACAGAAAAGTGCACAAATCTTAAGTATACAATTTGATGAATTTTCCTGAGTGAACACATCTACATAGCCACCACCAAGATGAAGGCAGGGGAGGACCCCAGCCTCAGTTGCCTGGCCCCTTCCGGTCCACCGGACCCAGAAGTAACCATCGTCTTAACACCATCACCACTCATTAGTTTTGCCTGCTCTAGAACTTTCTATAAATGAAATCGCAGTCTGTTCCTCTGTCTTCTTTTGCTCAACATCATACTTATGCTTTTGACTTGTTGAAGTTTCTCTTCTGGATTAAATTTGTAAAACGATGACTGAGGTTGGGAAGGAAGTTGAAACCTGAGATTCTGAGAAGCCATCTCGGGTACCACGCTTGGATTTTCCAAGAGAGGGACTCACAGGACCCGGCTTCGGCAGACCTATTCTCTCTGCTGAAGCAGGAAGGGAAGTAGATGGGGAAGGGGGCGTGGTCACAACTGCTCGGACTCCTTCCGGGGGCGGAGTCTTAAGGGGGCGTGGCCCTAGGCCAGCATCCCTCAGGCAGATGCCGCCGGGGGCGGGGCTGGGCCAAGGCTTCCTGTCCGTGCCGGCGGAATCGCCGTTTGACCCCGGAAGTGCGGGAGCTCCGAGAGCTGTCACAGTGAACGGCGGCGGCGGCGGCGGCGGCGGCGGCGGCGGCACATCGCGGGTGGTGGAGCCGCCGAGGTGAGTGCGTGGCTAGGCCCTGCCGGATACGGAGCACGGGACCCGGGAGGAGCCGCGGCTGTGCCTTGGGCAGCCTCGGCTCCCCCACCCGCTGGTCTCCACGGCGGGGCCGAGGCTTACGCTGCCCTAGGGGCCGTGAGTCGGCCCCCGAGACTAGGCCGCCAGAGCCAGGAGCCCCGGGTTCGACGCTTGTCCCCAGAGTGGCTGTGGACGAGCCACAGACTCCCCACCCCCACTCGGGACTTCAGTTTTCTCAGGGTTCATTTATTCGTTCAACAGATACTGGTCAAGCGCCTGGTGGAGCGCATCCTACCTGCCAGGCACTGAGGATACAAAGCAAGACAGACAAGGTCCTGCACTCTTGGAGAATACAGTCTAGTGGGAGGAGACAGTCAACGACAAGTAAATGCACAAGATGTTATCATTATAGCTATGAGAGAGTGAATACTTTAGGCAGAGCTATCAGAAGGTCTCTGAGGAGAGTAATATTGAACTGAGACCAGAAGAGTGATGACAGCGAAACGGAGGGAGCAGTAGCCCTGGGGATGCTACCAGTCCATATCGTAATTAGAGCTTGTACGGAGATCCCCTCCTAAAGAAAGACCTTTCCTAGCTTTTGACTTCTGCTGCCCTGCCAGGTAGGGGAATACAGTGGTGGGCACAGACATAGTCATGGTTATTGTCCTTGTACTTTTGAAACTTCATGTTCAGACTTTGCCTAGTTAATTTCTGCCTATACTTTAGACAAAAACTCAAATATTCCCTGACATCCCCCTTTCTCAAGTCAGGTCTCTAAGTTAAATGTTGCCATAGCCTCATAAGCCTTACCTACATAGCATACATTATGGTATTGATTTTTGTTTGTATGGCTATTGGATACATCTGTCTTTCCCATAAAGACTGTAAGCTCTGTGAAGGGCAGGACCAGGTCTGTTATTTGCCCACCTTAGAATTCTCTGGGCTTCAGTGCCTACCACATAGTAGGTACTCAGAAATCTTTGAGTGAATTAGATCAGCAGTCCCCAACCTTTTTGGCACCAGGGACCAGCTTCATGGAAGACAATTTTTCCATGGACTTGGGGATCTGGGGGATTGGTTTCTGGATGATTCAAGCACATTACATTTATTGTGCAGTCAAACACTTGTGCAGTCAAACCTCTCTGCTAATGGTAATCTGTCTTTGCAGCCACTCCCCAGCACTAGCATCACTGCCTCAGCTCCACCTCAGATCATCAGGTATTAAATTCTCATAAGGAGCACACAACCTAGATCCCTCGCATGAACTGTTTTTGTTTTTTGGTTTTTTTGAAACAGAGTCTGTCGCTTGCCCCAGCTAGAGTGCAGTGGTGTCATCATAGCTCACTGCAACCTCAAACTCCTGGGCTCAAGCTATCCTCTTGCCTCAGCCTCTCAAGAAGCTGGAACTCCAGGCGCGCACCACCACGCCCAGCTAATTTTTTCTATTTTTAGTAGAAATGGGGGCCTTGCACTTGCTCAGCCTGGTCTCAAACTCTTGACCTCAAGCGATCCTCCCACCTCAGCCTCCCAGAGTGCTAGGATTACAGATTTGAGCCACAGCGCCCAGCCTTCGCATGTGCAGTTTACAGCAGTTTACAGTAGGGTTTGCGCTCCTATGAGAATCTAATGCCACTGCTGATCTGACAGGAGGCGGAGCTTATGTGGTGATTCCAGTGATGGGGAGCAGCTGTAAATACAGATGAAGGTTCTCCCACCTACCCACAGCTCAACCTCCTGCTGTGTGGCCTGGGTCTGCGGCCTGGGGTTGGGGACTGCAGAATTGGATGATTAACACAGTGTTTGCCTCTCTGGTGACTCATAAGAGGTCTCTTCTGCCATCAGTTTATCATCACCTCTTTCTAATCATGCCCCCCCACACTTAAATGACTCCTCACTGCCTTTAGATGAAAGGCCAACATTTTTAGTGTAGCATTTGAGGCTCTTTTTAAACTGGCTCTATCTTTCATATCCAGCCTCTTTTCTCCTCACATCTGTCATCCTCTTTCTTACCTTATGTTTTCAGCAACACCAAATGTCTCTTCTTCTTCAAAGCCACACTTTTAAGGCTCTGAGTCTTTGCTCATGACTACTGTCTGCTTGGAATGCCTACCTTTTCCTCCTGTCCTTCAGCATCCAGGTTATAGGTCACCTTCTCTGTTACATCCTCCTTTCTCTGGTGCGCTCCAGTTTTGGAACTTTCCTGTTATAGCTTTAACACCGAATGATAGTCATTTACATGCCCAGAACCCAGCATGTATTCAGTCAGTGTTTGCTGAATAAATGAAGACTCTCAAAATGCCCTGCCCATGGTTGGTATTGGAATAGCAACAACCAAACCTTATCGAATGCCTATTATGTGCCAGGTATTGTACTGAACACTCAGCATGAATTACTTCTCACAGCAACCTAGAGAAATTACATACTATTACAATTCCAGTATCACAGATGAGGAAATGAAGGATTAGAGAAGTTAAAGAACTGTTCCAGGTCTCAAAATGGGTAAAAAAGGTGGAGCCAGGATTTGAACCCAGGGTGTAGGACTGTAGAGCTCTCTTTAACCACCAAGCCAGGCTGGTCCTGAACTTTTACAGGCACCAGCTTGTAGGAGTGAATTTCTTCTGGAAAACAGGTGCTGTCTCTACCTGTCTAGACCTGGACTCTGGGACCTACAGTTTAAAGGGTGGAGACCTGCCTCTTCCTTATGACTTTTTCTCTGCCCTGTGTTCCCACTGCTGTCTTTGGTGGGTGCGCCTGGAGAGAACTGGGCCTGCAAGTTATTTAGATTTCTGCATTGGCGTGCAGATCACTGGTGTTTCCAACTGCCCTTCCAGCATCGCTGGATGGTTAGGAGAAAATTATTTTTTAACACGCTCAGCACAAGAACCCAAAGCAAAAGAGCTGGGCTTCAGTTTCAATTTGGCCACTAATGTATTTGCCTTGACTGGATCAGGGTTATTCTTTGGACATATAAAAATAATAATCCTTGTTGTCCTTAACTGGCTTGTGAGAGACTAGTAAGATAGTAACTCGATTAGAAATAACAAACACACAGCAGAGGATATTATCTATGCTTTGCAAAGCTGAAAGTTGAAAACTCCCCCCAGCGCTTTATTACTTTGCCTTGTGATTTTTTTCTAGGCCCCCACATGTGTAAAGAAACCATGTGTCTGATCCACTGGGATCCTAGAGCTGGAACAGGCCTCAAGGACTAGGCAGACCGGTCCTCTTTCATTATATCCCTCTAGGGTGGGGATCTTTAAAGTCTTTAAAACAGGCCAGAACCAAGGTTCCTTGTGTACCAAGCTGTTTCCTCTGCCTGGAGCACCGTTCTTCCCTGGCCAGTCTCCACTATCAAGACTACTCAGCTCCTCCTGATTCTTTGAACTCTCCTCTAGATACGCTTTGAAAACCACTCCACCCTCCTACCCCTAAGTTTGACTAGACAAGACACAGTATAGTGAGTGGTTAAGCGCCAACATGCTTCACCACCTACTAATTGTGAGACCTTGGGCAAGTTTCTTATCTTCTATGAGCCTCTATATCCTCGTTGATAAAATGAAGATAATAATAGAACTAACCTTAGAGATGTGGTGAGCATTAATACATATAAAGCAAGTTAACATGGACAAAGTTAAGTTAATGCTGAGAACAGCACGTAGAAGAGCACTCCAGCATCTAATAAGCATGTTGGGGCCACTGTCATTGTCATTATTGTTATCACTGGACTGTGAGCTCCTCCAGGGCAGAGACCCTGCCTTTGCAGTCTGTCTTCATATCATTAGGCCTGGCCCGAGGTCTAAGACACAGGACACTTGATAGCTCATGGCTCACCATACCCTGCAACTTGTCTGTGAGGGCTCAGGAAGTGACAGTTTTCTCGTCCTGGTCTCAGTCTGTCTTCACATTGTCATTAAGACTGTGCCAGCCTTTTATGGCATGTCTTGTTAGGGGCCTAATTCACTTCTGTTCCATGATTCAGCCAACACACGTGTCCTTCTTGTGGGTTAGGCCAAGTGATATTGTGAAAAGAATATTGGACAGGAAGACAGGAGACCTGGGGACTGTCATTCACTGGCTCTGATGCCAGTTTGGGTCCCTGTAGGAAAGAGCTTGCACTGGCAGTTTTCTCTGAATTCTCTCTTCCTGCCTGGTCCTCTGTTTATCCATGTCCTTCTTCCCTGAAGCCTAAAGAGGTTGTAAAATCTTAACACCCTCTACAAGTGAGGAAAGGCCCATGGCTCCAACCCTCAAAAGACTTAAAATCTGGTTAGAGTCTTACGAAGAGTGAACTTGTATTCAGTCGTTCATCAAATATTCGATCAGGCTTCTATACCAGGCTTGTGCTGGTCACGGGAAAGGTAGCAAGAGAGGGAGGGCCCTGGGCACTGTCTTCACAGAGCCCACAGGCTACTGAGCACACAGAGCTGGAGCCGTAATGAGGATGATCTAGTTACTTCTCAAAGCAGGTCGGAATATATCAGGAGTCACCTGGGAAGTATTTTCCTCCACAGTTGAGAACTACTGCTTTAAAAGTCACCTTATCTGGATTAGTAGGTGCGTTGGAGGCCCACAATGGGAGCCTTCTAAGGCCAGAAGTTGAAGCTTCTCTTCCAGCTCTGGGATCAGCCCCAGAGCAGGCCCTGCCCCCAGGAGTCTGTGTGTCTGCTCTGTTCTTCCCATCCATATTCCTTTCAGGAGGGTCACGCAGCACAATGCCAGCTCTGCCCCTGGACCAACTCCAGATCACCCACAAGGACCCGAAGACAGGAAAGCCGAGGACTTCACCCGCGCTGGTGAGCCGGTTGCCTTGAGGCCGTTCAGCCTGATATTTTCAATCTTGCAATTTCAGAAGCAAAAAGTAAATTCCTTCTTTATCTGCTGCAAGAATGACCCAAGGGCCATGGTCAGTGATTCAGTAGCTGAGACACTACTGGGCCCTTCCAGGTCCAGGGTAGAAGTTTCCTTCCAAGAAGCAGCTTGAATTTGAGCAGTATTTTCCATGTCACCACCCCACACCTTCCCCCCAAAGCATTTAATTTTGAATCAGTCTGTTGGCAGTTCTGACTCAGCCTGAGTTGGGCTGGAAATGGACCCAGCCCAAAGCCGGGTTTGGGGATTTGACCCTGTGGAGGGTATTCAGGTTTCAGGTAGGGGGACTTTTTCCAAGCTGTCTAAGCTGCTATCCATACTTCGGTGGGAATGCCGATTTCAGAGGTCGGGCTGTCTTTTATCTCAGCTGGGATAAGAAGCACCACATACACAGACTCCGGCAGGGCTTGTGAGACTGAAAAATAAGGAGGCTGTGAACATGCTGATTACCAGCTGCAGAGAGAGATTAGAGCCGGGGAGAGGTGCCAGGCTGCTGAAGGAGACAGACGCAGGGACTGGAGTCCCCATACCCACTCGTTTTCCCAAGAATATGAGTTTACTTGAATAAGGTGGGGGGAAGTGTTTTCTAGGGGCTTGAGCAAAGTCGTGGGAAACAGGAGTTTGGTATTCTATTTCCTGCCTTTTGGATGGCTTCTTATTACTTCCTAAATACTCTCTAATAATAGTACCTAACATTTATGGAATACTCGCCCAGTGCCAAACCATTCTAAACACTTCACCTGCATTATCTCACTTAAGCCGCATCATAGCCCTATGAATAGGTATTTTGATTGTCTCCATTTTACAGATGAGGAAACTGAGAATTCAAGGTCACAGAACTAGGAAATTAGAGCAGCCAGGATGAGAACCCAGCCAGGCTGACACTAGAACCCATACCCTTAACTTTTCTGCTATAAAGCCTCTCCTTTCCTTTTCATAATTTGTTTTTTTATGTATAGAGGATATTTATTGGAAAATCTAGAACTGTTCTATTCAGTATGGTAGCCACCCAATAGGTGGCCATTTGTTTGTCACCTGTAGCTGTTGAGCATTTATAATGTGGATAGTGCTTGAAATGTGAACTGAGGAACTGGATTTTTTTGTTAAATTTTAATTTATTTAAATTAAAATAGCTCCACGTGGTGAGTGCCAGTGCCAATATAGAGCAGTTCCATCATCACAGAAAGTTCTGGTGGACAGCATTGGTGGAGACTGGCTCCTTGGGTGGTTGAGTCTGACTTTCCGTCTCATCCCTCCCCCTGTATATTGAATGAACACTGGGGCTGTTAGATTGTGGGAAGGCACACTCAACCAGGGAAGGCTTCCTGGAGGAGGGGGATTCCTAACTGGGTATTGAAATCAGGCAGAGCAACAGGAGGAGGGTGGACTGGAGTATGCAGTCAGTCCTGGAGCCTTGAGTGAGTCTCATTCTTACACCACCTACAGTTACTTGAGGTGATAGCTAGCAGTATAGCAGAGTTACCAAGCACAGGCTCTGTGTTAATCTCACTCATATTTGGCTGTGTGCCTTTGGGCAAGTTACTTAACCTCTCTAAGCCTCAGGATCCAAAAAGGGTAATAATAGGCCCAGCTTTGTGGAGTTGGGGGGGAGTTGTAAGGATTAAATGAGATGTCTGTGAATTAGCACGATGCTCAGGACATAGTAAGCACTCAATAAATTATAGTTGTGATGGTGATGACAACAGTGACAGTGACAGCAGCATTGAATGGGGGTAGGGTGAGAAGAGGGACGAGCTGAGGGAGACAGCTGCCTGATCAAGGAGGGGTCTTCTTGACCATACTGAAGAGCATTGCTAGGCAGGATATGGAAGCTCCTGAAAGATTGTCCTAAGATACGCACCCTGTATTCTTCACTTTAGTCTCAACTTGGGGCAAGAAGATCTCTAGCCAAGGGGCAGTCACTACACTGCCTTTGCAGGGTAATAGGTAGAACCAACGTTGGTTGAATAGCTACTGTTCAAATGGCTCTACTTGAAGACCCAAAAGAAGTAGTCTTGGGCTGGAATGGGTGAGTGGGCTCTTGAGGAAGACAAGACTGATACAACATTTGGAGAAGAGTGCAAAATGATTTCCTATCAAGAAAAACAGAAATGTAATGGACAGAGAATGTTCTGATAGCTTCACAGAGCACATAGGACCGAAACTAGGCCTACTGAATGGTGGGGTGGACTTGGGTGGGAGAAAGGACACAGCTGGAGCCATGAAATCTTCCATGGCCCCTCATTCCCTTCCCAATAAAGTCCCCACTCTTCAGTTGGGCACTCAGGGTCCTTCAAAGACCTTGATAGGATCTGGTCATTCGTTAATTCCATTCATTTTTTTGTCCAGCCAGCAAATGTGTGTGGAGAGTTTGCTTGGTGCAGGCGCTATTCTAGGGACTGGGAATACTGTTGCGAGCAAAGCTCAGACTAGCTCCGGAGACCTACAGGCTAGCGAGGGAGACAGTTGAGAGGGCAGGTCTTCCCCTTTTGTGTAACTTTATTGAGGCATCACCGAAGGACAATAAACTGCACATAAAGTATACAGTTTGATTGATTTTGACATCTGTATACACCCACGAAACCATCACCATAATCAAGACAATAAACATTTCCACCACCCCCAGACATTTCCTCTCTTTGATCCATCCCTTCCTCGCTTCCTGTCCCCAGCAACCACTGATCTGAAAGCACTTTCGATGCTGTTCAATTGATACAGTCAGGTAAGCATAGAGTGCAGGTGCTAGGGGAGAGCTCAGGTGAGCTCCTAATCCAGTTGCAGTGGGAGTCAGGGAGGCTTCCTGGAGGAGGTGAAGACAGAGCCAGGTCTGAAGGACAAGCAACCAGACCAGGGTGGCACGTGGATACTGTAGGTCATTGAGTAGGTCTGCAGTGTAAGCTTTGGTTCAAATCCAGCCTCAGTTGTCTCCTTAACCCCATGACCTTGGGAAAGTTCTTGAACCTCACTGAGTCTTTGTTTCCTCCTCTGTAAAATGGGTGAATACTATCTCCCTTTTAAATTGTTGTTGTAGATAAAAAAGAAATAGGCTATGGAACATGCCTACTGAGCAGCTGGCACAGGGCAGGTCCTCAATAAGCGGTGGCTTTCATTGTCATCATTACAGCATTCTCCAGATCCATCTCCCACTGCCCGGTGCAATCTGTGCCCTTTTTTTATGGCCCATGTTTATGACTCTATAAAAATGCTGTTTCTCCCGTCTAAAAATCCTTCCCATCCTCCAAGGCTCAGCTCAGATGCTGCCTGCTCCAGGAAGCCGTCTCTTGTCCTCCAGGCTCTGTTAATTCCCTTCTGCACTCCCACGGTCCCTCTGCCAGGTTTGAGCTGTCACTTCCTCTGTTATGTGCTCACTTGGCGGCTTAGATGTGCTTCTTCCCCCATTAGGATTGCAGGGAAATTAGAATCTTGGATGTGTGTGGATGTGTGTGTGTGTGTGTGTGTGTATGTGTCTGTCTGTTTGTCTGTCTGTCTGTCTGTCTGTTAGGGGAATGAGTAGCCTGGCCTGAGGGGTGAGTCAAAGAGGTAAAGTGTCAACAGATAGAGGAAGGAGGAAGCTTGAAAACCAAGGGGATGAATTTAGGCTCTAGACAATTGTTTTGAACTTTGCTCAGTGAGCAGAATTCCTTTTTCAACAGACTCGTGCCTGGAGCTCCACTCTATACATTTTATTTAAATGGGCCAGGGTCCTGCAGATAAATGGCCCCAAGAATTCTTACAGAACCCAAAGACTGCACAGTTTGAAAACTTACATAAAACAGTAGGAAGTCCTAGGAGGTTCTCAAGGAGGCTGACACATCAGTCTCAATTTTCCCATACCCCCTGGACCAGCAGACCTGGAAGTGCGTGGGTTCTGCTTGGTGACAGCTGAGATGTTGCCTGGCTGTCCTCCTGCTTCCACTTCTCCCAGAGAAAGCAACCCTTATGTAGTCAGAGGGGCAAACTGAGCCCATCTTCTCTGCTTCATGGTGAACAAAGTAAGGTTTGTTCATGGCAGGGTAAGGGCTAGATGAGAGAGCTTGTGATTCTAAGCTGAGACCTGCAGTTACTTGATTAGAATCTTTTCTTTAAAAAAAAATTACTGAGGTTTTTTTTTTTTCCGGTTATAAAAAGGATACAGCACAGTGATATGTACAGTATGATACCATTTGTGTAAGGAAGAAAACAAACCCAGACAAATGTTTTATGTGGATATATTTTAATGTAAATGCGTAGAAATAGTCTGTGAGGACCCCTACCAGATGGTGAGTGGTTACCTCTGAGGGGTGGGGGGGGACACTGGGACTGGAAGTGTGGTCCCAGGTGACTCATCTTCTCTATAGCATTGTAAGGTTTTGAAAGAAAAGATGCTCATGTCTCACATGTATAATTAAAAATAAATTTTAAAAGGAATACCTGTTCATTTTTTAAAAATTGGAAAATATATTCAACCTACAACCACCCCTCCCAACACTAGAGATAACCACTGTTAGCTCTGGGGTGTTGTCCCTCCAACTTCTTCTTTTTTTTTTAATTTGTGTCAATGTGTGAATGTATATATATTTTTAAAAAAACAAAAAAAACCAAAAAAACCTGATTATATTAAATAGAGTTTTGTATCCTGATTTCACTTCCCTAAATCTTTCCCCATGTCATTAAATACTCTCCAAAAGCATGGTTTTAAATGGCCGCCTCGTGTTCCCTGGATACAACCATGCCCCCTTTGTTAGATACACTTGGTTCTTTATGCTTGAAAGCTCTTTGGAGGGTCACCGGTTGGAACAGCCAAGTGTTGTCATTGCTGTGGGTTGGCAAAGGGGCCCTCGCTGACTAACCTCTGCCACGTTAACACGTGGTTTTTGGATCCGTAGCACCCTGAGCAGAAGGCAGACCGGTATTTTGTGTTATACAAACCACCCCCTAAAGACAACATTCCCGCCCTAGTGGAGGAGTACCTGGAACGCGCCACCTTCGTAGCCAATGACCTCGACTGGCTCCTGGCCTTGCCTCACGATAAATTCTGGTGCCAGGTAACATTCTATCAAAATTCACACTAAGACAAAGCACATGAAATGCTGTTGGTTGGTTGCTGTTGTTTCTCTTCCTCCAGGAGGTGCTTTTTTGTCTACTTCTTAGACTGGATCCTTAACGGCAAATTGTGGTCTGGATTGCTCTGTCTTGTATCACAATCTTAATGATGTTTACTCACCTTCCAGAGTGCCATTTTTAGAAACTTGTGTTTAGCCCTCGGCTCATTCATACCTCCTTGGTCCCTGGGGTTGGAGTGTTTGCAATAGGCCCAGGCTGATGGGCAGTGAGCCCCTGCACAGTCCACACAAAAGCCCTAGGGCCTCAGCGATAAATCCTCCTTCTCCTCTGTCGCCTGGCTTAGGTTATCTTCGATGAGACCCTACAGAAGTGCCTGGACTCCTACCTGCGCTATGTCCCCCGCAAGTTTGACGAGTGGGTGGCCCCGGCCCCTGAGGTTGTTGATATGCAGAAGCGCCTCCATCAAAGTATTTTTCTTATCTTCCTCCGCATGTCCACGCACAAGGAATCCAAAGTAAGCCCCTGATCCTGTGACAGGCTGCCACCTGACACCTAACACCTCTGTGCCAGGCTCTCCACCCCTGGGAAGGAAGGCTCTGGAAGCATTGGGTTTCCTCTTTGTCTTCCCTCCACCTTTATTCCCACCATTGGGAATGAAATCTGTGCCACCTCCCTTATCCTCTAATTCACCAGTTCGGTCTGCATCACACTCAGTGTTTTATCAATGGAAGGGCCCTTGCCAGCTGACGCGTGACTCTGCCTTTACTTGTGCGTCAGAGGGGAAAAGCATTGATTCTGACTTTTTAAAAGAACTTGTGGGCCGGGCGTGGTGGCTCAGGCCTGTAATCCTAGCTCTCTGGGAGGCCGAGGCGGGCAGATTGTTTGAGCTCAGGAGTTCGAAACCAGCCTGAGCAAGAGCGAGACCCCGTCTCTACTAAAATTAGAAAGAAATTAATTGGACAACTAAAAATATATAGAAAAAAAAATTAGCTGGGCATGGTGGCGCATGCCTGTAGTCCCAGCTACTCGGGAGGCTGAGGCAGGAGGATCGCCTGAGCCCAGGAGTTTGAGGTTGCTATGAGCTAGGCTGACGCCACAGCACTCACTCTAGCCCGGGCAACACAGTAAGACTCTGTCTCAAAAAAAAAAAAAAAAAAAAGAACTTGTGTGCTCTTTTTAAAATGCTTTACTGTTTTTTCCCTGACTTTAAAAATAATAACCCTGTCTCTGAATAACTTAAACATTACAGAAATATTATACAGATAGTGAATGTCACCCACAAAATCCCCTCCCCCCAGAATAACCACTGTTATGCTCCTTCAGGGAATAACCACCACATGCTCCTTCAGGGAATTTTTTTTGCCTTTGAATATGCATGCGTATTTAAAAAATAGGATCTTGCTTTTTTTTTTTTTTGAGACAGAGTCTTGCTCTATTGCCCTGGGTAGAGTGCAGTGGTGTCATTGTAGCTCACTGCTGCCTCAAACTCCTGGGCTCAAGCATTCCTCCTGCCTCAGCCTCCCAAGTAGCTGGGACTAAGGATCTTGCCTTTTTAAAAAATTTTTTTAGTATGAAACTTCCAAATATACACATATATAAAATTTTCATATACAAAGTACAAAGAATCCCATGTACCTGAGTTTTCTTTTTTCCTGGAGTATTTTCAAGCAATCCCAGACATCATGCTAATTTACCTGTAAATATTTCAGAATAAGTTCCCAGGGGACTGTTTTATAGTGTGCTTTTTTGCTTCTTTCTACATTAAAATGGAGGATGGCTATTGCTCCAAGTCTGTGCGTGAGGCTCAGATATGTCCATGGTGTGCACGGACCATCATTGATTAGCTGATCCCCAAAGGTTGTTTCTCATGAGTTTGCTATTACTTTACAATGTATGGACATTCAGAAAGTCTCTGTCCTTTCTCTCTGCACTTTTCCTTAGGATCACTTCATTTCCCCCTCTGCATTTGGAGAAATCCTCTACAATAATTTCCTCTTCGACATCCCAAAGATCCTGGACCTCTGCGTGCTCTTTGGAAAAGGAAACTCGCCGCTGCTCCAGAAGATGATAGGTGTGTAAGATCCGGGGCCGGGAGGATGCACAGAGACAGCCTCCACGTGCTGAACAAGAGGTGGCAAAGGCCAGCGCTTAGATAGTACAGAGGGATTCAGCACGGTAGGGGTAGGTAGTGCTGGGAAATTACTTAGCGGATACATGAGTGTCAACTCAAGTGATTAGGTGCAATGGGAAAGCGAAGACAAAAATGTGTACCAGGGGCTGGGCACAGTGGCTCAGACCTGTAATCCCAGCACTTTGGGAGGCCGAGGCAGGAGGATCTCTTGAGCCCAGGAGTTTGAGACCAGCCTGAGCAACACAGTGAGACCCCATCTCTACAAAAAATTAAAAAATTAGCTGGGCGTGTTGGCACGCTTCTGTAGTCCTAGCTATCTGGGAGGCTGAGGCAGGGGGATCACTTGAGCCCAGGAGTTTGCAGTTGCTGTGAGCTATGATGACACCACTGCATTCTCACCTAGTGAAAGAACAAGACCTTATTCCCCACCCCAAAAAAGAAAAATGTGTACCAAATGGTTCCTCAAAGACCTGAGAGTCGTAGTATTAGGCTGTGTGTCAAATAATTAAGGAAGTGGGGAAGTTTCCTTTGGTGATGAGAGTCAGAGCAGCAGTGATAGCTAACCTTCATTCGAGTGTGTTTCGGGGCCCTGGCACTCTGCCGAGCACTCCACATACATTATCTCAATTGCGTCCTCACAGCAGCCCTATGAGATAAGTGCTGTCATCGTCCCCATTATAGATAAGGAGACCGAGGTTAGAATGTAAGGGGCCTGCCCGAGAGGACATGACTAATAAGTGGTCCAGCTGGGACATATGTCCATGTAGACCTGACTCTCAAGCTCTGCCTCCTTGCCATTCCCTGCTTCGGGGATGATGGGGCTGCTTCAAACATGTCATGATTTGCATTGTTGCGGAGAGCAGTTGGGGACAGAGTTCAGAGAGGACTTTCTTAGGTTGCGAAAAGAACGGATGTCAGCGGTTGGATTCTCAGGAGGCAGTGGGCTGGAAAGTTCTATCAGAAATGATAGCCTCGTTCTAGTGCTATAGAGGGAGTGGTCCAGTGGATTCTTCTTCGAATTGTAGCTCGTGGAGTTGAGCCTGGCACAGAGTGGTATTTGCCCTGGGCACCTGCCAGCCTCCCTCACCCTAAGATCATAGCACAAAATCTTCTAGTTAAAAAGCTGAGTTATCCTTTGTAATGGTCCTCTTATTCCTTCATTCCTTTTTCCCATCCTTCCATTCTTTTTTTTCCTAATAATGATAATAAGGCAACATATGTTAATTTAGAAAATTTTGGAAGGATATAAATTATAAAGAAGCAGGAAGGCAATTACTAAATTTCTAACAAGAGACAACCATTTGGTTATTTTTTCCTTCCTGTCTTTGTGTATTTTTTTTTAAATATTTGTAATATATATGAAATTTTGCATCCAGCCTGTTTTTATTAGAACAGTCTCTGGTTTCTCATTCAAATCTGATTATTGCCTGATCATCATTAATCTTTTTTTATTTTTCCAGGGAAAGACCCTTAATAATTTTACTATAGACAGAGAGGATGGGGTGAGTGAGCAACAGAAGGCATGGTTAGTTAGACAATTATTAGGCCAGTTTGGTTAGAGTAGAGCATTCCAAGAGGGCAACAGGAGGAGACGGGGGAGGGGGGGAAGTTGGAGCTATACCAGGCAGGACTCTGTGCCAGCCTTTAGCTCCTAGGGAGTAGTATTGCTTGGTGGCTAAGAAAGCAGGCTCTGGAGTTGAACTGCCCAGTTTACACCCCAGCTCTATTCCTGACTGCGTCACCTTAGTCAAGTGAATTAACTGCCTTAAGCCTCAGTTTTCTCATCTGCAGAAAGAGAAGACAAATAAGATACCTGCCTCATAGAGGCCGGGCGCAGTGGCTTATGCCTATAATCCCAGCACTTTGGGAAGCTGGGGCGGGAGGATCGCTTGAAGCCAGGAGTTCAAGACCAGCCTGGTGCAACATAGTGAGACCCCATCTCTGCAAAAAATTAAAAAATCAGCAAGGTGTGGTGGCACATGCCTATAGTCCTAGCTGCTTGGGAGGCTGAGGCAGGAGGATTACTTGAGCCCAGGAGTTCAAGGCTGCAGTGAGCTATGAATGGCACCACTGCACTCCTGTCCAGCCTGGTTGACAGACAGAGTAAGACTCTGTCTCTAAAAAACAAAATAAAAATAAAAATAAATAAATAAATAAAAATAAAAAAGATATCTGCCTTATAGAGTGGTTATGGGGATTAAATATGAGGGGGTGTGGCTAGACGCGGTGGCTCACACCTGTAATCCTAGCACTCTGGGAGGGTGAAGTGGGAGGATCGCTTGAGGTCAGGAGTTCAAGACCAGCCTGAGCAAGAGTGAGACCTGTCTCTACCAAAAATAGAAAAATTAGCCGGGCGTCATGGCATGCACCTGTAGTCCCAGGTACTTAGGAGGCTGAGGCAGGACGATCACTTGAGCTCAAGAGTTCAAGGCTGCAGTGAGCTATGATGGCACCACTGCACTCTACCTGGGGCAACAGAGTGAGACTCTTGTCTCCAAAAAAAAAAAGAGGTGGTGTGAGTAGAGCACACAGCAGAGTGCCTGGCATGTTACAAGCACTTGGTAATCATGAGCTCTTATTGGGACAAGGACATGGAGCCTCTAGGAGCTTGGAGCAGGGCGAGGAGCCACCTGGTAAGGTTAATCTGGCAGCATGCAGGTGGGAAGGGTGGAAACAGGAGGCCATGGAGGAGGTGGGGGCGTCAGCATGGGTGTTAAGGTAAGAGCCTGGTTGGGCTGCTGGAGGGGAAGGGTCATCTAGGAGGCAGAAGCAGGGCTTGGTGAGCTCAGCTGGAAAGAGAGATCTTAACAGTTCTGGAGAAAACTGGTGTTGCTTGCAGAAAAAGGGCCTTTGAGAGGCAGGGGGAGGGGGTGTGAGTAGAGACGAGGCCAGTGTTCGAGCTGTTGGGTGTAAGATGGCTGTGCCGATCCAGGGGCAGTTCACGTGGCAAGGGTGGAGCAAGAAAGCTCTGCCTGCTGCCCGGGTTCCTAATCGTTTGAGTCACCGACTCCTTTGAGAATCAGATGAAAGCTTCTCTCCAGAAAAAATGTACCCCCTTATAGATTCTGAGGTGTTTTTATAGTGTTTGCAAACCCCCCAGTTTGAGAACCCTAAATTGGCTTATTGAGGAGAGCTCTTATTTGGTTCTTAGAGGGTGGTTAACACAAAACAGACCAGGACCAGGCTTTAGGAGCCCTTCACTGCACGGGCGTGTGTGTGTGTGTGTGTGTGTGTGTGTGTTGGGAGTGGCGGGAGGAGTGGTATGGAGAAGTGGCCGCACACACACACACAGAGCTCTGTTTCCAACTCTTGAGCAAAAGGCACAACAAGGGGCAGCCTCCAATTTCTACACCACGGAAACTTCTGGGCAAAGCGATCACCTGTAAGAGGATTGACAAGGGAGAGAAGGTGGGAGAAAGGGAACTGGTTGACTCTCCTGTGGGCAGAAGCCCAGTCTTTACCCTGCTCTTTTTTTTTAAAACCTTCAAGGCTGGAATTGTGAATCAGCAAGTGTAATTTTGAAAGCAAAGCCTTTCAGTTAGACTTTCTTGGAGCTGCTTTGCAAACCAGGAGTAGATTGGGCCTTGGCCCGACCATGGACTGCAGTGACCCATTTGGCAATAGCTGCTATTTGCCATGGGTTTCTGAACTGCATTCATCTGAGAAGGGACATTTTGGAAGATGCCATTGCTGTTCCTTACCTTTTTATTATTTCTTTAGGACATCAAAAGTTAGAAAGATCTTCACTGTCATTAGAATCAGATAAAGGAGAGGAAAGGGATTTGGAAGACAGCAAGGATAAATTGTGAAATTTGATCTATATTGATGCTTGTAAAACACTGCTGTTACTTAGGCTTTAGCACTGGAAGGATCACGAGGGCATGCCTCCCCAGTGCTAGGTGGTCGGGATGACATGGGGAACACAGTGTGGCCCTGGGAGTTGTGGGAGACTTCTCCCTGGAGGAGGTGACACCTGCCTTATAATAGAGTTAGCTCTGGGAGGGTACTCCAGGCAGAAGGAGGGGACAGGGCTCATTGTCTGAGGTTGAGGATAGTTTGAGGGAGGAATGCAATATGGGGAACAGGGAGAGGGTGGCCTGGGATGCCAGCAGGGGTTAGATCTCAAGGACCTTTCATGCCATGGCCAGGAGTTTGGACTTGACCTTGAGTATAAGTATAGGAGGGTTTTACAAGGAAGAGCAGAGGGTGGTAGGGAGATAGCTCAGTCATTCCTTGCTTGTCAGGAGTAGGAGGTGGGTGCAGATGGTCTGGGTACTGATCCCACCTTCACAGGTTGTGGGATCAGCACCCATCTGGAGGTGGGAGGTGCTGAGCAAGCCGTGCTGGTAAAACTGAACTTTCTGGAATCAAGGAATGAAGTGGACTCCAGGAAAGTGTCTATAGAAAGTCCAGCCACCTAAGTGACTTGCTTACTCACCAAGCTCCATCTGGCTTTTGATGTCAATTCATTTTTCAAATCCTTTGGGGTCTGGTGAGGGCCGCAGGGTCATCAGTAAGGAAACCAAGGGCAGACCTGACCAAAGGCAGAGGACACCTAGAATTCAGAACATCCTAACACCAGCTCGCCTTAGATGCTGGGGTTACAGTGGGATGAAGGGCCCTGGCCTCTTATGGGCATTGGCATTTCACGTGGCCATGTCCCCCAGCTAGCTGCGATTCTCCCCCTTCCCTCCCCTCTTCCTTGCCATTTGGGCAGCCGGAACACTTGGTCTCTGTTCCAGTTACCATATGCTCTACCCTACGCACTTCCAGCAGCAGCACTTGGGGAATAGTAAACACTTGGAGACAGGCTTCGTCTTATAGGAACAACTGCAAACGTGTGGTAAATCTATCTGCGGCTCCCTCTCAGGCCTCTCACCTTGGAGTAGGATGGGTTAGGATGGCTAGCATATTCAAAAGGGAAGAGTACGAGAATTTCCAGAGAAATTTCTCCCTGGAGTCTCCTCACATTTTTGGAGATGTGGCCTGGCAGGGGTCCTGGAATATTGCATCCAGGTTTCTTGAGCAAAGAGATCGTATCTCCTAATTTTCCTGGATGACTAATTCCCGCTTCCAAAGCCAAAACTGTCATAGGAGGCACAGTGCCCAAGTGTGATCAATCCCTGGGGATGTCAGGGCGAGCCAGTTTGACCAGGGCAAGTCTTCTAGTAATTCATAGGCAGAGGTGCTTAAAAGGTTAAACTGTACTGAGCAAGGTCCCTCCCCCACCCTGGGGAAGTTTCTAGGCTGGGCCAAAGCTCGGTGCCAGCAGGGCCTGAGGCCAGGACTAGTCCTAGGTCCTAGCCACAGGCAGGCTTAGAAAAAGGGAGAAAGGTCACAGAACATGCTGGCAACTGTTTGCAGTGTGTCCTTTTCACCACCTCCCCACCCCCAACTTCCACCTTTTCCCAATTCCTACTCTTCTTTTCTCTTTTTAGGAAACATCTTTACTCAGCAGCCAAGTTACTATAATGACCTGGATGAAACCATGCCCACCATCCTTCAGGTACCAGCTTTCGCCCTGCCCAGGGGAGGGTGACTTGGGAGGCAGACCCCTTCCTCAACGTGATGGTGTTTCTTGACTTCCAGAAGAGCTAGGGGACATGTTTATTCCTCACCTGCCTCTCGAGGCCCATCTCCCCAGACCATGCCCCTTCACATTTACCCTTTCCCCCTCTTGAACAGGAATGAAATCTAAGGGCTCCCTGGTACTCACGCAAAAAGAGTTTGGCCTATATTTTGTGTCACTTGCCAGCAGCCATATGCCTCTGAGGATATTCCTCTACGAGACCTGTGTTTCTCAAATAAGAGCTTGAAAGTTTTACAAAATCATTTTATGAAATAATGTTCATTGTGGAAAATTTGAAAAATATTTAAAAACAGAGGAATATTACTCTTCCCCCATAATCCCACCTCCAAGAGATATCCACTGTTCACAGTGACTTTTGGAATAGTTACATGCTAGCCTAAAGACAGCACTCTCCATTCAATACTTCGCCATTTTACAGCGGGCTCTGTTTCCCCTCACTGTTCATTTGTCTTTTATTTCAATATAGTTCCCACAAATAGCCATCTATAGAGGTTCCAAAAATCTCTTATATATTGCTAAAAGTATATCTTAAATGTTTATTATCAGATACTTGGTCAGCCCATCCAGTCAGAAAATATCTGGCGGATTCTGGGAGATTTACATACATGTCTTTTCAGCTGTCTCTGCAATCGTGTAAGAAGGATGCTCCCATAATCTTCATCTTACACAGTTTACTCTGACCCCACTCTCTGAGAAGGTCATTGTCTCAGCTGGTATCCCAGGGACATAGGTACCAGTTCCGAAGACTCCAAGACAGTTTTCGTAGTACCCAGTCCTGGCTGCAGGCGGGGGTCCCAGCCCTGGTTTATTAGGATGTGAGAGTCCTTTTTGCCTTTCACAGGTCTTCAGCAATATCCTCCAGCACTGTGGTTTGCAAGGGGACGGGGCCAGCGCCACACCCCAGAAGCTCGAGGAGAGGGGCCGGTTGACCCCCAGCGACATGCCTCTCCTGGTGAGGTTGCCCTTCAGCCCAGCCTCTTGCAGCCCCTTGGCCCAGCTCAGTGAGTGGCTGTGTATTCCCATCACTCAGGCTTAGAGCACTTTCAAGCAGGTTTGCAATTCTCTCTGGGAGCTTCATTGATGGAGTAGTGGGAAGAATAGAGAACTGGAATTCAGAGGACGGGGGTCTAGAACTCACTCACTTCACTCAGCAGGCCCATTCGTGCATTATTCATTGAGCTTGTCACTTCCTTAGTAGAGTTATACCGAGGAGCCCCAGCATGTGGCAGGCCCTATGCTAGGCCTTGGGGGTAAAGCAGTGAACAGAAGCAGACACGGTCCTACTCTCATGGAACTTAGAGTCTATGGGGACGACAGACAGAAGGCAGACATTTAAGGAGCCTGGACGTGTGTCAGGTGCTGCACTAAGCACTGGAGGTAGAGCAGGAACGAGGCAGCATGAGCTGCCCTCCTGGAGCTTGCGATCTTGTTTCAGCAGGGCACATGCCAGGTGCTGCAGGAGCAAATCGTTTTACCCCTCTGAACCTCGATTTCCTCATCTATAAAATGGAGATCCTAACAGCTGCCCAGTCTACTTTTCAGAGGCATCAAGAGAATCAGCAAAGTGTCTGAGAAAGCACCCCATATTCTGTATATCCTCTCCAAATGGGAGAAAAGTGTGGGCTTGGTATTCTTACACTCACTGGGATGTTCCTTCCCTGCACAGGACCAGAGATGTTGTCTTCAGATTTGGGGCTTGGTTTTCCTTTTTCTTAGAAGAGAAACTCCTATTATCTTAAAACTAGAAGTAACCCTAGAGAGCACGGGGTAGAAGGCCGTAGAGCTACAGTGAGGCTTAGAGGCTTAGAGAGGTTAGGTGACTTGCCCAGATTTTGCTCCTGGACACAGAGCCAGGCTTTGCCTAGGACCTCCAGTGTTCTCTTCCTCCCGCCCCACATCCTGCCTGTTGGAGACCCCAACTTTGTCAACTTTGTCTCAGACCCGCTGCAGATCTGTATGTGGGGGCAGAGAAGAACAATGCGTTGTTTTCTTTTGGCAACAGGACTTAAAGGACATTGTTCTCTACCTTTGTGATACCTGCACTACACTTTGGGCCTTTCTGGATATCTTCCCTCTGGCTTGCCAGACCTTCCAGAAGCACGACTTTTGTTACAGGTACGCAGTAGTTCTGGCTGTTGGAGTAGAGGTTCTGGTTCACATACTGATTTAAGAAATGCTTACTGGGTGCTTAGCGTATGTCAGTCCTTCCTCCAGCCTGGGGACACAGCAGTGAAGAAGACAGATAAGGCGCCTGCTCATGTGGAGCCAGCCTTTTAGAAGCACTCCCATTTTTGGCTAAGAACAGGAGGGAAAAAACCAACAACACAACCAAGAAAAGGGTAGTTTCAGTTCTGCTTCATTTTGTTTCAAAGCCCCTATCGTGGGCAGGCACAGGGAGTCAATAAGAAATGGTCTAGAGGGGCGAGAGCTGAGGAATAAATAAATGAATGAATGAATAAATGAGTGAATGGAAAAAAAAAAAAGAAACAAATGGTCTGAGGATTTCAGCCTCTAGTCCAGGGTAGAACACATACAAGGAAACAACAAGGGTGGGGCCAGGAAGTGACCCTTAAGAGTGGTCTTGAAGGCCAGGCAGGGTGGCTCACACCTGTAATCTCAGTACATTGGGAAGCTGAGGCGGGAGGATTGCTTGAGGCCAGGAGTTTGAGACCAGCTTGAACAACATAGCAAGACCCCATATCTACAAAAAATTTAAAAAATTAGCCAGGCATGATGATGCACACCTGTAGCCCCAGCTACATGGAGGCTGAGGCAGGAGGATCACTCGAGCCCAGGAGTTCGAGGCTGCAGTGAGCTATGATCACGTCACTGCCCTCCAGCCTAGGTGCCAGAGAGAGACCCTTTCTCTTAAAAAATTAATAAATAAATAAACAAACAAACAAACAAACAGGTCTTGCAGAATGAACGAAAATCTTCCAGACAAAGAAAAGTTGCATCTGTCTGTCTTTCAGTCCAGAAAAAAAAAAAAAGAAAGAAAAGTTGCAGTGCCAGGAAGGGCATTCTAGGTGGGTGAAGTGAAGATGCAAAGGCCCGGAGTATGTTCTGGGGACAGCCAGGGAAGAGGGTGCACCAGGAGGCAGGGAGTGGGGACACCAGGACAGCAGGAAAACGAGCCAGTAACAAGAGCTGACTTTGGGTAAGTCAGTAGAAGTCAGACTGTGAGGAGCCTTGTATGTGCTGGCAGGGCCTTTATTCCTTAGGCAGTAGGGAGGCTTTTATCCAGTGGACTCACAGAAAGATCCTGCTGGGATGAAGACAGACATGGAGGAGAATATGGGACAGGGAGGGAGACAGCACTTTGCCATCTTAGTGCCGTGAGCATCTGTTCCTCGTGCAGTAAGACGGGTGCATGGGCACGGGCGTTCCCAGGCCATGGTGAAGGGGCTGGCAACCTGCGTGTTGCCTGGCAACATGAGCTTGGGCCAGTTCTCAGTGGCCTCTGATCATCACTCTAGCCAGACGTCTCTCCCTCCCATTCGCAGCAGTTTCTGGGAGCTGCTCAACCCCACCATCCAGCCATCCGTCCATTCTGTCATTTACTTTCCCATTCAACAAAACACTTATCTAGCGCTTACCTGTGCCAGAGATGGCAGCTGGTGCCGTGACCCCTCCCTGGTCTCCTCAGCCTATGACAATCAGACATTAGGATCACTCAGCCTTCCAGAGAGTGTTAGAATAAAGTGCCGATCAGCATCTTCCCTGGACTGTAGGTAGCTGTCCACTTTTTAAAAAAAGGTATCTTTTCTCATGATAAAAGTGGCACATGCTTGTTGGAAATTTGGAAAATACAGAAAAGCAGGAAATTCAAATCACTGAGTGATCACACCAGTTTTAGAATTTTGTGCTCTGGTCGTTTTCACATATCATAAGCATTTTCCCATTTTGTTAAAGCGTCTCCCCAAATGTGGCACAAACTGCTTTTGCGAGGGTCTTTGGAGATGGAAGGGGGTATAAGTTTTGGAAGAGCTGACTTTCCTGCGAGGAACAACAGAGGCAGGGATGAAGAGGAAGAAAGGGAAGCACATTTAACTAAAGGCGACATTGCCTTTGACCTACAAACAGCCTGGAGCTGACCCAGCCTATTCAAACCGTGCTGGAGGCAGGCGAAGAACACGCCCTCTGAGCAAAGGCAGCCGCCTCCTTTCCTGAGAACTCTCGGAGAGGGGTTCCAGTGGCCCAAACAGCTCTGTTGCTGATCACTGTCATAACAACCTTCTTCCTCCTTCCTCTCACGTCTACCCAAGGATATCTGAGTGTATCTCTTTCTGTCCTTTAATTTTGTGAATGAATAATACATTCACACAGTTCCAAACTCAAAAAGTATAAAATATACAGTGGGAAGTCTCCTCTTTTCAGTTCTGTTCCTCACACACAACCATTGTCATTAGTTCTTTTGTGGAATTTTCCATAGATATAAACATAGACATATATGAGCAAATATACACATTATATATCTGCCCTCTTTTAAAAAATTTAATGCTGGCATATCGTGGGTATTATATGCACTGTGTGCATTTTACTTTTTCACTTAATGGCGATGCTGTATCAGTCCATAAAGCACCCTCCATCTTTGATATGGCTGGGTACAGTTCTATCAGATGGGGTACCAGATGCCATAGATGGTCCTTTAGGTTTTTTTTTCAGTTTTTTGCTATTACAAAAAAATACTACAAAGATTAACTTTGCACACACATCATTTTGTACCTTTGCAAGTATATCTGAGGAATAATTCCTAGAAGTAAAATTACAGGGACAGATGGTATGTGCATTTTTAATTTTCATAAATCTTGCCAAATCACCCTCCATAGGGGTTGTTCCAATTTACCCTCCCACCAGCAATGTATCCTGGCAACAACTGAACCTGTTTGGGCCAAACTGCCCTCTCTGTCTGCTTCTAGTGCCATGCTGTGGGCCTAGTGGGGCCTGCCTCTTTTGGCCTAGTTACCTTCTGGTACAGTTAGGATAGATGTTGCCAGAAACCAGCCAATGGACAGACAATTATTTATAGAGCAACTGCTACAAATTCAGCACTGTCCTAGGCGCTTAAGCTGCAGTTCTGGCTTTGGGAAGTGTAAGATGTTTGAAAGAAGAATGACACTACACAATAGAGGCAGCTGCATTTTCAGTTGTCAGGGCAACATATTCCAGGTGCAGTGCCTCTAGTTCTGGGAAGGAGGAAGGTGAGCAGGATCAGGAAGTGCACAGGGAGGAGGTAGGCCTGGAGTGCTGCATGGAGGAGGAGGAGAAAGATGAGAAGAGCCATGGTGGGGTTAGCCTGAGAGGAAGCCAGAGGGCTATGGGAATGCTGATCTTTGGGAGGATGGTGAGGGGCTGTGTGCCTGGGATGGAGAGTAGAATTTGAGTTGGGAAGCTGGTACATGTGACGTCACCGAGGTTAGACATAAGGTTGGCTACGCTGTGCCAGGTATAGATGTACCAAAGAGAAGGATTACGGTTTGCTGTTGTAGGAGCTAGGGAGCTGCTAGCAGTTGTTTTCTTCTTTTTTTTTTTTCAATAAATACAATTATATTTATTTGAAAATGATCTTACTATGTATATCATTTTGAATTTTATAAATCTTATAAGCTGGGTACCTGTAATCCCAGCTACTCGAGAGGCCGAGGTGGGAGGATCACTTGAGCCCAGGAGTTCAAGACCAGCCTGGGCAACATAGCCAGACCTCATCTCCAAAAAATTAATTAATTAATTAAAAGGTTATAGACACAGTGCTAACTGGCTTAACTCATAAACCAATGTAAAAAAAGAACATTTAGCCTGTTTCGGACAAATACAAATATTGTGTTGACATTTTCACATTAAAACAATTTTTAAAGATTCCAAATCATGCCCAAACTGTTTTTGTTGCCAAAGCTAAAGTTTTTCTGTCACGTAACTAATCTAAGAAAGGTTAATATACACATGTACATTTCAGTGCACATAAAGCTGGCAGCTTTTGAGTAAGAAAAAGGAGTAACCTTGTGCCTGTTTCTCAAACCTCAGAGTCCTGGGTGGCCATCTGGTTACTATGTTAGAATGAGCCTATCTGGGCCTTGGTTTCCCATCTGAACGAGGGACACAGCTACAGGTCACTTCCCATGAGGCTGTTCCTGGGACCAGCCACAGTGGTCAATCTGGGGGTGGGTTCGGGGAGGAGCCAGGGGAGCCCGTGGAAACAGGAAACGGACCTTCCTGCTCGCTTGGGTTTGTTTTGACTTTCTCACAAAGTGTGGCATTGCTGAACTAATCCCGCGTCTTACCCACGTGTGCCTCCGCAGGCTGGCTGCCTTTTACGAAGTGGCAATTCCTGAAATGGAGTCTGCAATTAAGAAGAGGAGGCTTGAAGACAGCAAGTGAGGCGGGGACTAAACTAAGAACGTTGTTTTGGGAAAGAGAGGCCTGAGCACGGGCTCTGCCTTCCCCAGACTTCAGCACCCCCATGGCTAAGACAAGGGGGTAGGACCCAGGACTGTGCAGCATCAGACTCACGTGTCCCTACCTGGCTGACTCCCGGCCTCTGCAACTTTTTTTTTAGTTCTTAAGATTTTAAAAAAATAGTACTCTCTAAGGAATTGTGTGAGGACCTAAGGAGAAAGATTGTGACAAGTAGAAGGTTATCTGTTACCAAACAGCATGAAGGAGATTTGTCTCAAAGTCCTGGTTGTACCTAGGCAATTGAGTCCATTAACCCTACACCCCCAAAATACAGTTAATATGATGACTAGGCCCTGCATTTAAGTCCTTCCCTCAGCTGTTGTTCCAAGCTCTTTGGTAACCAGCCTGCTGGTTCCTGACCCGCTGTTTGAACTGAGAAGCGGCTCTGGATCGAGCTGGCCACTCCAGGCCTACGGCCTTTTGCCACCTACTCTCAGCACTAAACTTTGAGGCCTTCTCTGCCCTGGAAAGGCACCTGCAACTCCAAGGGAGGAGCTCCCTCGGTGCCTTTTTGTCTCCTAAATCTCTTTCTTTTTTCTCTCTGGCCTTCAAAGGCTGCTAGGTGACCTATGGCAGAGGCTCTCTCATTCCAGGAAGAAGCTAATGGAGATTTTTCACATAATCCTGAACCAGATCTGCCTTGTCCCCATCCTAGAAAGCAGGTAAGCCTTCTAGAACTGCCTCCCGTTGAAAGACCCTCCTCCCCAAGCCCAGAGAGTTACCATCACTTCATCTTGGCCTCCTCCTTTGCTCCGGGGTTGGCTGAACAGATGGGAAACTGAGAAAAACGTCTTTTTCTGCTAACGGGCCACAGCCTTGAAGAGGGGCAGGGCGGGCATGGAGGGAGCTGCGATCCTGTTGCATTATGTGGGCTCATCTTCCCTGGTGTCCTGTTGCAGCTGTGACAATGTTCAGGGCTTCATTGAAGAGTTCCTGCAGATCTTCAGTTCCTTGCTGCAGGAGAAGAGGTGAGTACGGCTGAGCTGGGACCAGCGGTGGGACAGGCTCGTAGTCCTCCCACCAGAACCCACGCGGCCTCACATGATAGAGCCCCCGCCACAGGCTCACCCCGGCTCTAAGGTGCTGGCACTCTAAGGTTGGGGCAGCAGGCACAGGGAGTGCCCTGCAGCAGAACAGTGTCCCTGTGGTCCTAACCCTGTCCTTCTCGTCTGCTCTCTACCCTGCAGGTTCCTCCGGGACTATGACGCACTCTTCCCTGTGGCCGAAGACATCAGCTTGCTGCAGCAGGCCTCGTCAGTCTTGTATCCTACCACAGCCCACGGGGACAGGGCCCGGCCTGACTAGGTCAGAGACAGGCTGCTGGGACTCAGCAGAGTGGAGAGAGGTTTCTGGAGCTGAGGGTCAGCCAGGTGTCTGAAGAGGCCCACCCAGACCCTAGCCCCCCTCTTTCTAGAGGAGATGACTGCTCTGATGCTCGGGGCAGGGGAGGTGCAGTCTTGCTTTCTCTAGGTCTTTCTGGAGTGTCTGGGCCTATGTGACCAAGATGGACTCAGCCCTGCCCTCGTAGACCTCACTGCAGGAGAGGAGGCAGATGAGTTAGCTGGCAGTTAGAGTGTTGTCTGGGAGGGATTCAGAGGGCAGGAAACCAGAGGAGGCGCCTCACGCAACAGAGCTCGGGGTGGGGGTGTCAGATGGAAGTGATGTCTAACCCAAGAACAGCGGGAGGAATAGGAGAAGGCCAAGCCAAGCACTAATGACAATGACAAGAGCATTCCCAGTGGATGGAGGAAGGAGTGAACAGGCTCCTTTGAGGAGCCCACAGATGTCATGGGTAGAATGTAGGGTGTGGCCATAGGGGAGGGGTCTCCCAAAAGGGGTTGTTGGGCCATGGCAGGTGACCCGCACAGCCGTGAGGTGACCATCACTAAGAAGTTTGGGCTCTGTCCTGCAAGCACTGGGGAGCATGGAAGGCTGTGAGACAGGAGGTGACATGGGCAGTTCTATACTTTGGAAAAGCTCCATGTGGTACAGGGAGGAGAATGGACTGGGCTGGGCCCACTGTGAGGCCAGGCAGAGGCTGTTGCTGGCATCCAGGCATGGATGATGCAGGTTTGGACTAGAAGTGGAGTGAGGGAGTCTAAGGCCACTCTCAGATTTCTGTCTTGACAGCACCCAGGGTGGCAGAGAGGGTGGGGCAGGAAGGAGCAGGCCTGTGGGTCCCCAGCCTCTGCAGAGTGCCCTCAGCTGGTGGGACCAGAGGCCCAGCGGTTGTGGCCCTGTCAGGCCCTCCTCCTGGTGGTCAGTACAGAAGAGGAGCTGCTGGTTTATCCAAACCCATGTCCCGGGACATTGTGCTGGCATCCCTGGCCCTGTCTTTACTCAGAGCCGCTCTCTGCTGAGTGGCATGTGCTGGGGCGCAGGGCAGTGTGCTGTGGTCTGGGCCATTTCCCCATGCAGCCCAGGTGCCCATAACGCCCTCTGGGCACAGGCCAGAAGGCCCCTGGCAGAAGCTGTGCGGTCAGATGCTGGGGAGGGACTGAGAAATTACAATGCCGCAGAGCCAGGGAGGCAGAGAAGGCCGTACGACCCGAGAGAGACCCCTTAACGTGTCCTCACAGGGACGAGACGCGGACTGCCTACATCCTCCAGGCAGTGGAGAGTGCGTGGGAAGGGGTGGACAGACGGAAAGCTGTGGAGGCTAAAGACCCCTCAGTGGCTGAGGAGCCCAGTGGGAAACCTAATGGGGTCATGGTGACAGCAGAGCCAGTCAGTCAAACGTCATCACATCTGGAGAACTCGGAGGAAGAGGAGGTGTGTGTCTGGTGGTTTCTCCTGCTTCCTCGGCCCCTCCTGGCCCCGTCTGAGAGGTTGGGGCAGCAGGAAATCTCCCTTCTTTGTTTTTAGGCTCAGGAGAAAAGGTTTCTTTGGAAATTGACAGCCTGGAGCCACTGGCCAGCTCTGTGCTGCCTTTACAGGGTCCCAAGCTGAGGGCATGCTGGACTGGGTGTGAGGAGACAGCAAGTTGCTGAAGCTATCGAGGCATCAGTTTCCCCTCTATAAAATGGAGGCAAAGCTTTTCCCCTGTGAATCCTTCCTGGACCTCTCCTCTGTGCAGATAAAAGTGGAGCTCCTTTGATTGAGGCTGGGAGCAGTGCCAGGACCTCCTCTTGACCTCCCTGGAAGCCCCTCCACGGGCCTGCAGGGCTCCACTGAGCAAATTTGGAAACCTCGGATCTGGTGCCTTCTCTCCAAGCTTTTCCAAGGCCGAGTCTATAGCTGCGTGCATTAGCCACTGAGCCCAGGACGCTTCCCTGCATGTCGGGAGGCAGTGTGGTCTGGGGATTGAGGCCACACGCACTCAGGTCTGGCAGCTCACCAGTGTAGCCTGGGCCTGCCAGTTGCTGGCTGTATGGCCTTAGGCACATCACTCCTGTAAGGCGGGAATAGATGTAGTACCCACCTGTATGAGGTTGTCAGGGTTCCCAGGGCAGCTGCATGGAACACTCTAAGCCTGGCTGGCTCTTCCTGCTCCATTAACAAATGCTGATCTGAGTCATGGAGGTTTTTATTGCTGTGATTTGTAAGTTTCCTTAAATTAAAAGGCTAACCAAATTAAGCCACATTGAGCAATATATAAAATGAGTCTCCCTTACTGGAAAGAATATAATTAAAAGGGAACACCTCCACCTAGTCCAGGTCTCACAGATGCTGTTCCACTCCAGCATCAGTCAATTGTTGGAGTTGGGAAAGTTCTTTTTATTTTTTTTTATAAACAAACGAACTTTACAAGGAAGGAAAAGTCCTTGATTCGTAGAAAGCGCAGCCATTTATGGAGTGCCCAGTCCGGGCCAGGTCCCATGCTCACTGCTCTATGTACAGCTTTTCTTTGAATCATTTGAAACAACGCCATGAGGTGGGTGGTAGTGTGCCCATTTTGTAAGGAGGAAACTGAGGTTCAGAGAGGGGAAGCACCCTGCCCAAAGTCACACAGCCAGAAGCAGCTCAGCTGGTAAGTCATAGACCCCTCCCCCGCCCCCTTTTTAACGGAGGAAACGGAGGTTCAGAGAGACCTGAGTCACTTGGCTAAGGTCACACAGTCAGGAGGGGCAGGGCCAGGACTCAAACCAGGTCCCCTCACATCGAGTCCAGTGCTGTTTGAGGCCTGTTGCCCTATCACTTGCCTGGCTTAGCTGTCCCCTCCTTCACTCTGGCTCTTGTGACAGTGCATGGGAGCAGCCGCTGCCCCAAGCCCCTCCGTGTGCGGCGTGGAGCTGGACTCGCTCATCTCGCAAGTGAAAGACCTGCTGCCAGACCTTGGCGAGGGCTTCATCCTGGCCTGCCTGGAGCACTACCACTACGACCCGGAGCAGGTGATCAACAACATCCTGGAGGAGCGGCTGGCCCCGCCCCTCTGCCAGCTGGACCGCAGCCTAGACAGGTGGGAGAGACAGCAGGAGGAGGCTCCGAGTGCCCAGGCTGCCTCGGGGTGGGGGGCCCTTCCTCTGCCTCCCACTCTGCCTTCCCTCATAGTCCGGGACTCAGCTTGCTCTCTCTTTCCCACCGTGGTGTTTCCCAGCCATTTAAACGAGTGCCCTCTTTGGAGAAACGTATTAATAAAAACCTTAGGTCCTCCAGGAGGGTCTCACCTGCCCCGTGCAGGGCAGGGAGTGTACACAACTGGACATCCCTGCTACACTTTGTGGGAAAACCGATTAGAGACTCGGGATATGACAAAGGGTTGCTGAGCCCTTCAGAGGTCCTGAGTTCCTGACCTGCTCTTGTCATTACCACCTTCCCAGTGGATTCCTGAGAGAGGACAACCAAAGCTGCTCACTTCACACCTGCCCTTTCTGAGTTTGGCCCACTGCTGCCCTGAAGGCCCATGGGACAGCAGGAACCGGTGCATAGCTGGTGTTTTGTCCATGAACAAATGATGTTTACCAAATGAATGCGTGAAGTTAGCTCTGTGTCTTTGGATAATCTCCTCAGCCTCTTTGTGTCCCACTTTACAGATGAGGGCACTGAGGCACAATGGAGTTGAGTGATCTATGACTGCCTGCCTCATAGGGCTTTTGTGAACATTAAATGAGGGGTAGAGCTTTTAAGAAATGGAGAGAAAACCTGTCTGAACGGCACTCAGAATGAAGGGAGTTTCGATTCAGGTATGACTGCATACCCAGGCAGGGACTGGCTAGGGAAGGGCCTTGTCTCCCCCTTAAAAGTTTTTTAGGTTGTGTCCTAGTCTTGCTGTTGAAGTGGAGTGAAAAATCTGATGGATACAACATGGCAGGGGAAAGTGGGTGCAGGTGGGCAGCAGCTGGCAGGGCCCCCTCAAGTTGATCTCAGTGTCTCCACTTCTACCCAGACAGGTGAAACCAGACCCAACGCCCCTGCTGACATCTCGTCACAACATCTTCCAGAATGACGAGTTTGATGTGTTCAGCAGGGACTCAGTGGACCTGAGCCGGGTGCACAAGGGCAGGAGGTGAGTGCAGCGGGCTACGGGGTTCCAGGTACCCCAACTCTGGAAGTGCAGAGAGAAAGTGAGAGTAACCAAGGGCTCCCTGTTTACAGAACTGGCCACGGAGTTTCAGCCCAGGGATCCCTTCGAAGCCCTGGACCTGTGCGCTCCCAGCAGGTGGGAGCAGGTTCTTTAATGATGATGTTTCAGGCCCCAACTCTGTGCAGGGAGGTTGGTAAGTCCTCCTTGTTGATAGCAAAGTGCTAGAAGAGCCAAAACGGTCCCCCTCTTCCCTTCCTACATCTTTCCATGTGTTGACCATCAGATCTCTGGGTGGTAGAGCTGGACGGTGCTTCCCAAAAGCCACTCTTTGACCTGATTTTCCACAGGCTGGGACAAAATGAGAAAATTAAGGACTTTCACTGAGTGAGCTTTTCAGAAGGTGACCGTATTCCATTTTAAGGCCTTTCTATTTATTTTTAGTTTATGTCCTTTCTACTATTTTGGCATTGAAAAGTCCATTTGTGATTTATTTATTCATTCAACAAATATTTGTCCGGTTCTTACAGCATTCTAGGGCCTGGATTAATTAGGTTCTGGGGATGTAGCAGGGAGTGAAACAGACACGGCCCCTGCCCACGAGGAGTTTGCATTAATCAGCTCATCAAACAAGCAATGTCAAATTGCAGATATAACAAGTACGACGGGCCGGGCACGGTGGCTCACCCTGTAATCCTAGCTCTCTGGGAGGCCGAGGCGGGCGGATTGTTTGAGCTCAGGAGTTCGAGACCAGCCTGAGCAAGAGCGAGACCCCGTCTCTACTAAAAATAGAAAGAAATTAATCGGACAACTAAAAATATATAGAAAAAACTAGCCGGGCATGGTGGCGCATGCCTGTAGTCCCAGCTACTCGGGAGGCTGAGGCAGGAGGATCGCTTGAGCCCAGGAGTTTGAGGTTGCCGTGAGCTAAGATGACGCCACGGCACTCTAGCCCAGGCAACACAGTGAGACCCTGTCAAAAAAAAAAAAAAAAAAAAAACAAGTACGACGAGGTGGAGATACACAGACTTCCGAGCCTTTGGGAGGGGCTTCACCCCAGGCAGGAAGGCTCCACTGAGAAAATGATGTGGGACCAAGAGCTGAAGGGTGAGAAGGGGTCATTTCTGCAAAGCAGGGAAGGAAAAGCTTTCCAAGCAGAGTGAACAAGAGGAACAGTGGCCCCGAGGACAAAGTGAGCATGGCAAGGGTCCCATGAGCTGATACATTTTATGTTTTGAAAAGATCATCCAGCTTTGGGTTGACCCATCAGAGGACCAAGAGTCAGAGGTGATGGTAGAGAGGATGACATCCAAGTAGAGAACTGCAAAATAAGACGTTGGCAACACCACGCTAGTTCCCCAAAGTTCTTTAGTGCTGTTGGTTTGTGGAATCCAGAAGTCAGGGGACCTCTGGACAAGTACAGCCTGCCCTTTCCCCTGTCATATGGATGGGGGTGGTGAGGTTCAGAGAGGAAGGAGACCAGCGTCGTTCTTGCGGTAGGAGTCCTGGTGGCAGAAGTGCCGGCTGCTGCTTCAGTTAGGGCCCCATGCTGTTCCCCCTCCCTAGGGCTGTCCAGAGCTGGAAGCTTGTCTGGCCAAGGGCTTCGGGAGTGGGCGCAGGGCGGCTATGAAGCCATCTGGCTGGACAGGAAGCACTTGCAAACTGCTTAGTCATACACATTGCGACATCCCCAGATCCCAGACTAGAGATGTTATCCTGCAACACTGTGACATCCCCAGATCCCAGGCCAGAGATGTTACCCTGTATTGATTGATGGCCGCTATTCCAAGCCAGCATGACTCCCTGCAGCTCCAGCTATGGAAAAGGAGCAGACAAGGGGTATAAGACTGCCCCCTGCTCCCACCCGGGAACCTGATTGGCAGGTCCCCCACATAGCTTAGGCGTCTCTGGACATGGCCTTTCCCCTTGACCTTGATTTGTGGGTTTTCCCAGGGCTCATTGTATTGTAAGGTCCGGTCTCACCCTACCTGGGTCATAGGGCATCCACAAACATTTGCCAATGGGCTAGTCTCAGCTGTCAGGGTCAGCAGAGGGGTTGGCACTGAGGCGACCAGGTTTCTGGAGGGCTGTGTCCCCCGCTCCTGGGCCGTGCAGGCTGCCAGTCAGAGAGACTCACTGTGCTAAGTAGCTCAGGGACTGGGGATTGCAAAGAGGCAAAGCCTCCATTCATGTGTTCATTATTTATTTATTCATTCAGCAAATATTTATTAAGCAATTTACTAGAGCCAGATCCTATGCTAGACACCAGGGAAACAAGGTGAGCCAGGTGCCCAGGCCTTGCCTCAAATGGCACAGAGACCGTGGGAAAGAGACCATTAAACAGGTAGTGACAGAGTGGGAAGGTGCAGGGGTGCAGGGACACCTGTCCTAATGTAGGCAGGGTGGAGAGGCTCAGAGCCCTGCCCTCGGGGAGCACATGAGAAATTAAGTAGCACAAGGCAGATTATACCTGAGTTAAAGTGTGTGTGTGTTGTTGAATCAGATAGGGTACACTCAGTGACTTAAATAGTAAGAAGACCCATTCCGAGGCCGGGCGCAGTGGCTCACGCCTGTAATCCTAGCACTCTGGGAGGCCAAGGCGGGCGGATCGTTTGAGCTCAGGAGTTCGAGACCAGCCTGAGCAAGAGTGAGACCCTGTCTCTACTAAAAATAGAAAGAAATTAATTGGACAGCTAAAAATATATAGAAAAAATTAGTCGGGCATGGTGGCGCATGCGTGTAGTCCCAGCTACCCAGGAGGCTGAGGCAGTAGGATTGCTTGAGCCCAGGAGTTTGAGGTTGCTGTGAGCTAGGCTGACACCACGGCGCTCTACTCAGGGCAGTAGAGTGAGACTCTGTCTCAAAAAAAAAAAAAAAAAAGAAGACCCATTCCCTTGCATGACAAGGAGCTATAAGGTAGGGCAGTCTAGGCTTAATTAACCTGTGGTGCAGCAACGTCATCCAGGATGCATCTTTTCTGTCTCTTGGGCCCTTGCGCGGTGGTCATAGCTGAAACAATGGCTTCCAGAAACAACAGTGCAGGCGAAAGTCCAGATGAGGTCTTCCTGTATCTCTGCTAGAGAGTAGAAAACCTTTTCCAGAAGTTTCCAGATTCCCCTTGTATCTCATCAGGAGAAGCACATCACAGGGCCGAGGCCTGCAGCTCCAATGCGGAGTGGAGAGGTGGAAACACCTGAGCAAGATGAGGCTCTGTTGAGTGTGTCGCTGAGCCAGAGCACGGCTGTCAGGCAGACACCCAGCACATGTGCTAGAGGTGTATCGTAGCCCGTGAGGGAGGCAGTATGTATAAGGTGGGGTCCCCTAATGCCTTTGGACTGTTCTATGGTGCCCCAGAAGATAAAAAGTATTCTCTCTCAAAAAAAGGTTCTATCCCCCAAAATGTCCGTGCATTCTGTCTGCTTTTTGGGGAGTCACAGAGCACATTGGCAAATTAAAGGCTCTGACAAGTCGTGCAATAAAAGAAACAGGATTCATTCTGTTGAGCCTAGCAGGTGCTGGGTCCACTTCTACACATCATGTCATATTTCTTTCTCACATCAGCCTGGGAAACAGGTGCTGGGAGAAGGAACTGAGACTTGGTGAGGGTAAAGGACTTGGCTGTGGTCACACAACCCAGGAAGTGGCAGAGCAGACTCGAGTCAGGAGACCTGCGTTTGGCCCTAGCTCTACTGTTAGAAGCTGTGTGACCTTGCGAAGGTTGCTCTCCCTCTCTGGATCCCCTGATCTTCACTTGGAAAAGGAGGGATTTATTGCCTCTGCAGGCCCTTTAGAGGTTCAAAGGCAGGAGTCACATCCCTCAGAACCAGTTTGTGTTGGGCCTTGAAGGACAGGCGTGAGGAGATGAGGAAGGGCAAGGTGGCCAGGTTTCAGGGGAGCCTGTGTGTTCCCTGGGCTTGCTGCCATCTTGCGGGAGGCTGAGGAAGCTATCTGCTCCAAAGACAGTCTCTGAAGCCACTGTTGCCTGTGTCTCCAGACTTGACTGAAGTTCTGGCCCTCTGACAGATCTTCTCCCGGTTGGAGAAGATTTTTCCTGATTTTTCTTTTCCTTCCTGGCTCCAAATGAGGTTGTAGGGCCAGACCTGCAACTCCCTGAACAGGCTGCCCAAGGTGCCAGGCTTCACTGTCCCTACCTGTGTCCTCTGCCAGGGCACACAGCTAGGGCAGGTGGAGTTTGCCAGGCTTCTCTGTCTGGCCCTGCCAGTAAGCCACTTAAATCAGAGGCCACACAGCACGTCCAGTGGGATAGGGCAGGAGCCGAAGGTATGGAAGAAAGGATGGTGACACCTCTCATTCGTCCTCAGTCCCCTGGCCCAGCACAGATCCTGGCACCTCGTAGGCCCTCGGAAATGTGTGTCGAATGCATGGCTGTGCTCTTGCCATGGCACCAACCACCTGGACTAGCTTGGTTCCCTTTCACTTCCTTTCCATCTCTTTCGTGATTTGGTGAAGAAAGCCAGGTACAGGGCCAAGGCCACAGTCACGGGCCCCTTTCCCTGGTGGATGTGAAAGATTCCTGTGGACTGAGATTTCTCCCTACGCCAAATCAAATGCGCCATCCTCTCTGCCACACCCTGGGGCTCCTGGTCTGATCAAATACCCCCCCAGCATGGAGACTCCATTGCCCCTTCCTCCAGGCCTCCGCTGGACGCCCCCCCCAGCCAGAGTGCATTCCTCCTTCGTTTCCCGGGCAGCCGTGCCTCCATTCGGCACATTTCACGGTAGCTGTCATTTGCTTGTCTGTCACCCCAACTGCACTTGTGAGTTCGTGGGGGCAGATTCATATTTTACTTGTTTATGAGTCTCTCCCCAGCTCGGCCTTCCACCCTGCATGGCACATAGTAGGCCCTTAATGAGGCGCTTGAAGGAAGGCAGATCCTAGCCCGCCAGGCTGGAGGCGGCAGCCCCGACCTGCTCCAGGCTCCCAGGCAGGCAGCCCCACAGACTCAGACAGACTCAGACGCCTGCCCCTCCTGGCCGGCCCCAAAGCCACTTAATAGAAGATTTTTACGGAAGCCATGTCCGGCTTTGTGTCTCTTTTTTTTTTTTTTTTGCCATACCCTTGATACATTCCAGAGACCCGATTTCACAGCTTAGCTGGATTTTCCTGCCTGGCATCTCATATTGATTTTCCCCTGCAGGGCTAGAAGCTGCATTCCACAGGCCCGTATATGTGTCTGACAAGCCAGGTTGTTTTTTTTTTTACAGGTTTACAAAGCCATAAGTCAAGAGGCCTGAGTGCCTGCCCAGACTGTGCTGCAGTTCACTGTGACCCCAAGCATGTCCCTTCCCCCTGACTCCACTGTACCCAAGTTTCCTCACCTGTGACGTGACAGGAGTTGGATTTTCAGACTTTTTGTTCCAGTGAAATCTTACAAGGAAGCTTGAACCGTGGAACAGATAGAAGGCTGCTGTGGTGAAGCAGGGGTGAGAGGAAGAGGCCAGGGCCCCTCCACGCCTCATGCTCCAGAGGTCCCTTGGGCTCCCTTGAGCTCAGTAGGAAAGCCACATGTAGTCTTGTTCTTTCTTAAATTTTTGTTTGTTTTAGAAGATTCAAACCCCAGGTCCCTGCTAGGAATAACCATTGTCATTTGGTATGGGGGGCTTATTAGCCCTGTCTCGGTGCATTTACGTACATGGATATGGGCCCATAGAAACAGTCGGTCTTGTTTGCTTTTGGGATCATACTATGTGCATTTTTCTCTAGCTTGCTTTTTTCCTTGGGAAGAAGTCTTAGAATTCTTTCCATGTCAGCACAAATAGATCAATGTTGTTCTTGAGAACTACCGCACAATGATTGGCAATACAGGTGTGGCACGGTTCATTTGACCATTTCAGTCATGACGGACGTTAGTTGCTTTCCATTTTCCACTGTTACAAACAACGCTGAAAAGAAAATCCTTGACCAGGCCTCTTTGTGCACACAGCCAGCGTTTCTCCAGGGTAGATGCCTTGAAAGGAAATTTTCCGGTCAAAAAGTGTGTACGTTTTGCATTTTAACAGCAGCTCTCAGCCAGGTGCGGTGGCTGACACTTGTAATCCTAGCACCCTGGGAAGCCGAGGCGAGAGGACTGCTTGAGCCCAGGAGGTCAAGACCAGCCTCAGCAAGAGCGAGACCCTGTCTTTACTAAAAATAGAAAAATTAGCTGGGCCTGTAGTCCCAGCTACTTGGGAGGCTGAGGAAGGAGGATCTCCTGAGCCCAGGAGTTTGAGGTTGCAGTGAGCTACGATGACGCCACTGCACTCTACCTGGGGCGACAAAGGGAGACTCTGTCTCAAAAAAAACAAACAAAAAAACCTGGCAGCTCTTGGGATGTCCTCTGAAGTGGCTGGACCTGTCCCCGTGGGCATCAGCGGTGAGGCGAGTCCCACCCTCCCACGCCCTCACCCATGCTTGATTTCACTCGTCTCAGTTTGTGCCAGTCCGGGAGGTGGAAAAGCGAGAGCCCTTTGCACTCTGCAGCCGTCCAAGCCTGATGGTTTTCCCTCCTCTCTCCCTGCCATTGCCCCTTGGCACCAGAAAGGAAGAGAACACGCGGAGTCTGCTGAACGACAAGCGAGCGGTGGCGGCGCAGCGGCAGCGCTACGAGCAGTACAGCGTGGTGGTGGAGGAGGTAGGCCACCCAAGGCCCGGCCTCTGCTGGGCGGGGAGACCGGGCCGGCCTCTGAGCCCCTCTCACCCACGGTTCTGCCGTTGCAGGTGCCGCTGCAGCCAGGCGAGAGCCTGCCCTACCACGGTGACGACTACGAGGATGAGTATGACGACACCTACGACGGCAACCAGGTGGGCGCCAATGATGCAGACTCCGATGATGAGCTCATCAGCCGCAGGTGAGGCCGTAGGATGGGGAACATTCCAAGGCAGAGCAGCTCCCAGGCCCACGGGCCTCCTGCAGCCTCTTGTTTATACAGATGAGGAAGCCACGGGCCTGATCACATGAGCAAGTCAGTGACAGAAACAGGGCCCAAACCCAGGCCTCCTGACTCCCACGCTAGCAGTCCTCCACCTCAGCCCACCCTGAGTGGACATTTATTTGCATGCAGTAGTTTTACATTTTTGAGGGCGGGGGGAGATAGATTCTCTCTCTGTGCCCAGGCTAGAGTGCGGTGGCATCAGCCTAGCTCACAGCAACCTCAAACTCGTGGGCTCAAGCGATCCTCCTGCCTCAGCCTCCCGAGTAGCTGGGACTACAGGTGTGCACCACCACGCCCAGCTAATTTTTCAGTTCTATTTTTAGTTGCTTGGCTAATTTTTTTTTCTATTTTTAGTAGAGATGGGGTCTCACTCTTTCTCAGGCTGGTTTCGAACTCCTGACCTCAACCAGTCCTCCCACCTCAGCCTCCCAGAGTGCTAGGATTACAGGTGTGAGCCACCACACCCAGCCTACATTTTTCTTTTTAATTGCAGAAAACTTTTCCTGGTGGGATCTTATGGAGATTCCCCAGCACAGATCAAAGCAGAGCTGCTGGGCACTGTGGCTCACGCCAGTGACTTGGGAGGCTGAGGCAGGAGGATCTCTTGAGGCCAAGAGTTCAAGACCAGCCTGGGCAACATAGCAAGACCCCCTCTCTACAAAAAATAAAGTTAGCAGGGCACATTACACTCCCGTAGTCCCAGCTACTTGGGAGGCTGAAGCAGGAGGAGCCCTTGAGCCCAGGAGGCTGCAGTGAGCTATGATTGCACCAGTATACTCCAGTGGGACAGAGAGACCCCATTCTATAACACAAACAAACAAAAAAGCAGAGCTGCCATGACTAATGGAGGACCGGTGACCCCCAAGTCCCCAGCTCAGCCTCTCCTTTGGCCCCACGTGTAACCCTGGTACCCTCAAAGAAGCAAAGCTGGCCTGAAAAGCACTTTGGTGTTTCCCAGCCTCCCAGGCCTGTCCCCATCCTGGCAGCCGCCTTGCAACCCGCTGAGTTCCTCCTCCTTGAAGTTCTCTGTCCAGGCGGAACCTAATCTTTGATCTCACTTTCTCTCCAAACCCTCAGGCCCTTCACCATCCCTCAGGTGCTGAGAACCAAAGTGCCCGGAGAAGGGCAGGAGGAGGATGACGATGAGGAGGAGGAGGCTGAAGATGAGGCCCCCAAGGTACCTCCTTGGCAGGGGCAGATGAAGGGGAGGGTGTGGTCCTGAAGGATGAATGAGGAGCACCACCCCTCCACGCATCCGGCCATCAGTCATCACTGCCAGGGATAGGAGGGGTCCCTTCAAGCCCATGATGTCTGCTTGGAGAGCTGCTGGCTTAGAACTTGCCTCTGCTGCCAGGGGACAGATTAGAGGCCGGGTCTTTGAGCCTCCAGGTTCATTAGGCCCAGGAGCCTGGGGGCTGGGGAAGGGCAGCGGTCGACTGCCATGCCCAGGATGGCAATTCTTAAATTCAGAGAGCAGTTAGCGCCCAAGGAATCTGGGAGGTCATCTGGACGAGTAGGTTTGAAAATTCCATTTTTTAGCAGCTGAACTTTTTCTCTAAATGAAATCTTAACCAAAACCTCAACATATAAAACAGTTGAAAGCGGTACTGCTCTGGTGACCGGGGCAGTAGCCTGGGACCCCTTGAGCCTCTCGTGCCCTCCCACCAGGGTGACAAATTAAGATGTTTCCAGACCCTGGTCACCATGAGTAGCGGGGCCTGGTGGGGACTGCGCCGAGTGGTGGGAAGCACGCACCCTACCTGAGGGGCTCCCCGGTGCGAGCCTGGGCCTGAAGTTTCCACAGATTTCCCTTCCCAGGCAAAGGGTCAGCCCAGACTTTTACGTAAAATCTACCAGTTTGCACATGTTACTAATTCCGCTTGCTTTGTTTGGGTTTGGGTTTTTTTTTTATAAAACCGCTGACCACCAAAGCCTGCCTGTGGTCCTTAGGTTGCAGTGTTCCCCTGCACTGGTCCAGCCTTCTTGCACTCTTGGCACAGAAGGCTGTCCTCGAGAGCGGGTGCTCCCTCAGCGTGGGGCTAGTGGCACCAGAGTGAGGCCGAGGCCTCCAGCTCCCAGGACAAGTTGGCCTCCAAGGCTCTCTTGGCTTTCAGGGCCCTGCCTGGCCTCTCGCAGTGGCCATCCTGCCCCTCCCCCCTCCCATGTCACTGTCACGCTCCAGCCACAGTCCATCCACCCTAGAAGCCCCAGGCCCTCCAGCCGCCGCCTCCTCCTCAAGGAAGAGGTGAGTGGGGGGCTCCCCGTGGAAACCTCAGACCACAGGAAGCCCACTCCGTTCCGGACGTCACTGTGCGCTGCTGCAACGTCCCCCTGCTGGAGTCGCGAACGAGATTCGTTTGGGCAGGGCCTCACTGCAGCAATTCCAGCTTTTGTCTCCTCTCCCCTCCACAGCCCGACCATTTCGTGCAGGACCCTGCAGTGCTGAGGGAGAAGGCAGAAGCCAGGCGCGTGGCCTTTCTTGCCAGGAAAGGGTGAGCATTCAAGGGCTGTTTCTGGTAGGAGGGGACCCACGTGGGGATGGTCCAGCCAAGCCCTGGGGAAGCCCATACATAAACTCTAAGTGCCTGATGTGTATTAATTTAGCTATCATTAAAACCTCATTTTGCAGATGAAAAAATACAAGCCCAGAGATGTTAAGTAACCTGCCTAAGGTCACACAGCTGGTAGGCGGTGGAGCAAAAATTGAGCCCAGATGGTTCAGCTCTGGGTCCACACTCGTAACCGTTACTTGACGAACATAGCAAGGGGTTCATCGCCCAGTGTGGGAGCCCAGCATGTCCAGGGCTAGCTGGTGTCAGGCAGAGTGTAAAATGCGAGACGTCCCAGACAGATAGACACACGTTCTTCGTGGCTGAGAGAGGCATGATAGGGACAGGAGCACTTGACTTGGGCAGAAAAGGCGCAGAGGAGTTTGTGATGCAGGGACAGAAAGGCAAGAAAGTGCAGGTGTGGTCAGGGAGAGGGGTCTTCGGAAGGGAGCTGGAAGTGGGTAGCCAGAGACTCCTCTAATCCAGCCCCTCATCTTCCCAGTGAGGAAACAGTCTAGAGGGGCCCAGGATCGGCCTCCAGTTAGGGCCAAGCCAAGGGTAGAAGGCCATTCTGCCTTCCTGGCCCTGGGCTCATTCAAGGTGCACTATCTACTGGTGCACAAAGCTTCACTACAAGGGAAGGCATTTAGAGTTCATTCTGAAAGCAATAAGGAGCCACAGAATGTTGCTAAGCAGGGAGCAGAGCAACTCTGACTTTCCATCCATCCCAACCCCCCAAGCACAGAGCTTTGGGCAAATCCCAGCAGTTGAGATGGTCTGGAAAGGTCCTAGGTCATGTCTGTGAGTGCACTTGGTCTTTGGAGACCGCCAAGCCAGGCCCTGGGGTGTAGGACAGGAGTAATGTCTCATTTGTAGCATGTGGCCCTGGATGGAGAAGGGAGGGCACCCACCCAAGCTCTGTTCCCCTCCTGTGGGCTGCAGTCAGCCCACTAGCTGCTCCTGCCCCACAACATAGTGATGGACCCCTTGGGAACCAAGGTTCAGAGAAGAGAAAACACCAGGCTCGGGGCTGGCCAGAGCCCTGCCTCCGCCTGGCTCCGTTTTTCCTCCCATCTGAAGTTGGGACACAGGTGACCTGGCCCAAGTTGTGTGTCCTCTCCCAGTGACCACCGAGGCAGGCTGTGGGTTCTTCCCATCAGAGCCTCTTCCAGTGACAGAATCTCCTGGGGATGGGTTGTTGCTCCCTCAGTTACCGGCATGACAGCTCGACAGCAGTGGCCGGCAGCCCCCGGGGCCACGGGCAGAGCCGCGAGACAACGCAGGAACGCAGGAAGAAGGAAGCCAGCAAGGCAACGAGAGCCAACCACAACCGGAGAACCATGGCCGACCGCAAGAGAAGCAAAGGCATGATCCCGTCCTGAGGCCGCTGCACCAGGGCCGGCAGGGAGGAGCCGCGCTGCCTTCCCACAGCCTGGGGCCTCCTCACTAGGTGGCCTCCTGCCGGGGCCCCAAGTTCAACTCAACCCCTCAACAGCCTCAGCTTTGCAGCCCCTGAGAAGGCCGCCTTGTCGTCCACCAGCCAGCCACGAGCGCCTTCCTGGAGAACACACAGTGCCTTATCCCACAGCAGAGCAATCCGTGGGGCCAGCGAGCAGGCACCCTCCCCCACTGCTCTGGCGGGGAGGGGATGGGGACAGAGCCCAGGGTAAGCCCCCAAACCTCGTGCAGCAAGACACCACTTCCCTTTCTCCCTGGACGGCAGGAAACCTGTCTATTCAAACACAAAAAAAGGCCTGCGAATAAAGTTTTTGACCCTTTCAAGCAGTGACCCATGATATGCCCATCACCCACTCCCCCTGTGTCTCATTCTTCAGGGACAGCTGCCAGCTGGAGGACAAGAGGGCAGAATGGTCACTGTGCCCTTTTCATCGCACTTGGCTCTCAGTGTAACCCCTCCCAGTGTTGCTTGCCTGGCTGTGGGACCCTGAGAACATTGCCCCCTTCTCCGAGCCTCCAGTCCCTGCCCGTGGAATGAAGGGCTGGAGGGCGTGAGGCCTGTGGTCCTTTCTGTGCTCTCAGCCAGTTCCGACGGCTCCACCTAGGAGGTAGGTACTGTTTTCAGCCCCATAGTACAGATGGGTAAAGTGAGGCACTGAGGGCTGAAGGTGCCTACCCAGGCCACAGCTGGGAAGTGACAGAGCAGGGTTGGACATTCAATCTGACCTCTGGCCTTTATAGGGTCCTAGACTCTTGGGGGGTGGTCCCCTCTCCTCACAGCTGGCCCGAGGACATTTGGCCTGTGGCAGAGCCAGTACTAGAACACAGCACCTCCGGGTTGCACATACACTCTTGTTAAATCCCCCCAAATCAAGAGTTGGACGGAAACCTTAAGAAACAAGTGAGGATATCACTGCCAAGCCCTGTTGAAGAGAGTGGGACTTGGGCCTGGTTCCTCAAAGCCCCCTCCCTGCTATCGTGGCAGCAGCTGCCAGGCCTCCCTATGCCTGTGCCTCCCGGAATGTTGCCAGTTGGTGGCAGATCAGTGGTGGGGCGTTGGCAGGGCTGTGACCCTAGTCCATCCTGGCCTAGAGTCTGTCCAGCCTGGCTGGACCTTGACAGATCACCGTGGACGCTAGTGCAGTTTATTTGCACGTGCTCAGGACGTGCGTCTGAAGCAGAGGCAGACAGGCACTTGACGGGTCAGCCCGCACAAGTGAAAATCAATGGCAATCCCTCTGCCTCGCCGGTTCTTCTGGTGCATTCGAGATGCAGCGCAGATAGGGGGCTGGTGTCCCTGGCTCTCAGTGCCAGATTAGCTGAGCTCAGGCCTGGAGTTAGCCGTCCTGACAGGCAGCAGGAAGACTGTTTCCTCTTGCAAGCAGTCGCCAGTGACAGCTCGGTGGCAGGGCCTTTTCTTTCATCCCTCCCTGAGCTCCTCAGACCCAGCGCTGGTCCATGGAGCAAGTGGAGGTGGATCAGGGAGCTGTCAGGCTTCACTGGTCCTACCTGTTACTGTTCGTAAAGCCCCCCTCGCCTTCACTTGTGATCTGTGCCTCCAACCACCTGGATTAGGGCTTCAGGCTTCACATGAACATCCTCTTTTAAAGGGTTTGAGAAGCCAGGCGGTTTTTCAGATTTTTCAGAATGTAGCGCCAGGTCGAACTCAGTCTCCCTTGAGGAACTACTACTTTCTCTTTTCGGATCTTGAGGGCACTCTTTCGGGGGTGCTTTAAAAACAGTTCAGGGGCCATCAAGGGGCTCATAGGCACACCCCTTCACCTCTCAGGGCCTCAGTTTTCCCATCTGTGAAGGAGCCCATTGGACCAGATGAAATGCTTCTACTTGGTGCCAATTAAATCGGAGGAGTCCCCAAGGTTTAAGATTGGCAGCTGCAGCAGTGTTAGAAGCGAAGTGGGGTGGGGGCTCTGACCCCCTGCCTGCTCATCACTGGGTCCCACCACCCCGACTGCTGCTCCTACCCAGGTATTTTCTAAGTACCTTCTCTGGGCCCGGACAGAGAACACGACTGTCGCTGACGTTTCCCAGGAAGCTTTGAAGACCTGTGTCTCTGAGTGGACTTAAAACTTCAATGTCTTTGTTCCTAGTCCGTGGGTGGCAATGCTGGCAGACATGTGTGTTTGAACAGTGCCTCTGAGAGGTGGGGGCAGAGCCTAACATTGTTTATTAAAAGGGAGGAGGAGCCTGTGGTGGGGACAGGCAAGTAACTTGCCCAAAGCCCCTGGCAAGTTAGCAGCGGAGCCTGGAGGCACATCCTCTCTGAGTTGCCCCCTTAAAGAGCCAGGTGCAGTCTGGAAGAGTGAATGATTGCCAAGAACCTGCATGTCCTGCCACACCAGGAGCTTGGGTAAATATTAATAATACAGGGAGGGAAACCAAAAACAAATAAAATCCAACACACAAACACAGGGGAGTATTGTGTAGCCCTCTAAAAAGATGTCAACAAAGACTGGGTAGCCACGTGGGAAACTAAATATTCAAGAATATTTTTTTTTAAAGAGAATACATTTAAAAGCAAGAATACATGATAGTGTAGTGCACCATGATTGTGAAATGTTTTAAAAAATTTTTTGCACACAGACCGGGTTTGGAAGGGAACGCGCATAAATGAAAATGCTAGAGTATTGGGTGATCATGCTCATGAGACCACAACGGTTTGTAATGAGAATAAAAGCACGTACTGAGCATTTACCATGGCCAGAGTTTCTGCTGGGCTCTTTCCTTGCATTCCCTTGTTTAATCCTCACAAGGTAGGTACAGATGAGAAAACCACTGTACAGGAAGATAGGTGACTTGCTTGAGATCACACAGTTAGCACGGGGTTTGGGGGGCGCGATTCAGTCCTGGGACTGTCTCCTAAAGCCTTGCTCTTAACCCCTAAGCCCACTACCTGCCATTCCTTTCTCTCCCCCATTCCCACATCCGTGTCGCTGTTCTCACAACGAAAGAAGAAAATACAAGTAAAACAGTTACAGTGCAAGAGGATGGGAAACCCCACTGCATCGTGCCAGGCCGATGGGACCCTGATTACATGTATATTGGACCGTTCGATATTGTCCCACAGACCTCAGATGATGCTCTGTTCCATTTTTTCCACTTCTTTCTGTTTTCATATTCATTTCTCCCTCTCTCTGCGTGTCCGGTCTGCTGAGCCATCCCACGCACTTCACTTTTGTGTTCAGCCCCTCTCCAGGGGAAAGGGGAGAGAGTTAGGGCATTCTCGGCTCAGATGGTGACCGCAGACCTGAGGAGAGCTACAAAGGCCTGGGAGGGGACAAAGTGGGCAGAAGAGAGCAGTGAGCCCCAGAGTTAGGGCCACCAGGGCAGACCAGGCCATGGCGTAGTCATTGGTCCAGAGCAACTGTTTGCTGCCTGTTCTTGGGGCTCAGGGCATGGGCGGTCAGCCCGGCTGCGGGGGCCCAGGAAGGGGAGGACAAGTGCATCTATTCAGCACATACTCTGCCAAAGACCTGCCGGGTGTCAGGCACATGTGAGAAAGGCCCAGCCTTGCCCTCCTGGAGGGACAGTGCAAGGGCCATATGGATATTAAGTAAGACATTTTGGGAAAATGTTGAATAATTGCGCTGCGTCCTAATAAATAAGCGAAGAAATGAATAGGAAGGAAAATAGGCAAAATCAACAGGAAGGGGCCAGAGCAAAGAGACTTCCCTGAAGCAGAGGGAGGTGGCAGCATCAGGCAGCAGCAGACATCGGTCAGCCAGGCCAGGCAACGGGCTCCCTGGGCTATACCAGGAAGTGGGGGGCAGCCGGCAGGAGGAGAAGGCAGGACAGTGGGTCCTTCTTGGAAAGAAGTTGGCATTGAAGGGGAAGAAGATGGGGCTCAGAGATGAGGAGGGGTGTTTATGGGATGCCTAGAAATAGCCCGGGAGGTGCCAGGGGACCCACCAGGGGAAGGGCCAGTCCCCAGTGGGGGGGGGAGGGACGTGGATGCCCCCAGGTCAGCCTGGCATCTGGTCTTATCTAGATCTCTGGGTAGTGAGGCAGAAAGGCAAGGGCCTCGCCCGTGGCCAGAGGCTGCTGTTGCAATTCTGTAGCCTGAACCAAGGTAAAAAAAATTGGTTCTGTCTAAAGGTTACCATCCCTAGCCCTGTGTGTGTATGGGGTGGGCCTGGGGGATCCTTACGAGCATGAAATTCCCACTTCACATCATACTGAAAATTCTCTTCCAGCGATCAATAATCAACAAGAGAATTTTACACACACTGGCAGGATTCAGAGAACTTTAAAGGGCATTTAGAGCAGATTTTCTCAACATGCTCCCAAGCAGCCCCAGTCTTAGGCTTTGGAATTTCAAATACCCCCTCCTCCCCTGGGGGTGGGGAGCTTCGTCCTGCTTAAGAATTCACTGGCCTTCTGTGGGTCCCTCCCAGCCAGAGAGGTTTCCTCCGGCTTTGCTTGCTGTGGTCTAAATACAAAAATGACGGGTACTTAATTCTAGTTTTCCAAATACAAAATTATGACACTGACTATGCTTTTTCTAGCCACAGGGGCCCAGCCTCAGCACTCTGGCATGTCCCTGAAGTGCTCTGCCATCCCAAGGAGGTAATTATGGTTTTCTCCTCTTTAAAGTGCTTTTCCCCTGAAGAGCCAGGCAGAAAAGGGGGTCCCCAGTGGGACAAGCACCAATTATTCCTGTAAATTTAGGAATTTTCTTTGCAGATTTCACGCAGGCTCCTCCCTCATCTCCCATCTGGTAGTCTGCTCTGCTTACTCAGTGTTCTGTCACACACAGACTCCAGGCCTCAACATGCCCGGCCTTTCCGTTGTTAATTTGTTGACAAAGGTGGCCTGGGTAGAAAAAAGAGCACTGGATTAAAAGTCAGGAGGCCTTAGACGTCAACAAGCTGTGTGACCTTGGGCCAGTCACTCGACCTCTCTGGACAACCTCAGTTTCTTCTTTTGAGAAATAGGGATGATCATTGTCCCCTGCCCTCTTGCCTCATGGGCGTGGGTAATTGTGAGGGTCACACACGATCACGGCTGGGGGTGGGGGGCGCTCTGAAAGCAGTGAGCCCTCAAATGGGACAGATGGAGACTCCTGTGCTTGGCAGCCCTGCCTACTCTGCATTTGGAGCAGTTTCCACCTCTCCCCTCTTTAACCCTGCCGGAAACCTCTTTGCACAAGTCCCCTCCATTTCCATGGGGTACAGTCTACGAACATGGAATTCTGGGGTCCCAGGGACATGAACAGTTTAGAACTGCCTCCGCCTGCGTTTTGGCTGGTAGTTCTGACAGGACAGAATCGGGACAGCTTGAACTCAGGTTTTTGCCTCCATGGGCAA